CCCAGGCTAGAGTGCAATGGCATGATCTCGGCTCACTGCAACCTCCGTCTCCTGGGCTCAGGCAATTCTCCTGCCTCAGCCTCCTGAGTAGCTGGGATTACAGGCACGCGCCACCATGCCCAGCTAATGTTTTGTATTTTCAGTAGAGACGGGGTTTCACCGTGTTGACCAGGATGGTCTTGATCTCTTGACCTCGTGATCCACCCGCTTTGGCCTCCCAAAGTGCTGGGATTACAGGCGTGAGCCACCGCGCCCGGCTTATCACTTCTTTTTTTGAATTCAGTTGCCTACTTTTTTTTTTTTAATAGCAATGGTTTTTAAATTTGAAGTTACCTTATTGAAGTGATCTCCAATCACATGCCATATGCGAGACCACTGCAGTCGGATCCGATTCATGTTGTAGTATGATATCTCCACAATCTTCTGCAAGCTGAACATGCGAGGATGGTGGGGGGAGGCCAGTTCATCCATGGACACAGCACATAGCCAGCGTACAAAGTCAACTACAGGCCAGACCCAACAATACACGCAAAGCCTCATTAGGAACAGTTAGACAGTTACAGCATGAGGCTTTTGTAGTTGGCACAGGTAAGTCAAATACATACCTATAGCATTTCCATCCAGTCTGGTAGATCCAGTAAAAATTCTAGGAAGATAATTCCAGACAAAATAAACATTAGGCTGGGTGTGGTGGCTCACACCTGTAATCCTAGCACTCTGGGAGGCCAAGGAGGGTGGATCACGTGAGGTCAGGAGCTCGAAACCAGCCTGGCCAACATGGTGAGACCTCATCTCTACTAAAAATACAAAAAATTAGCCAGGTGTGGTGGTGGGTGCCTGTAATCCCAGCTACTTGGGAGGCTGAAGCAGAAGAATCACTTGAACTCAGGAGGTAGAGATTGCAGTGAGCCAAGATCATGCCACTGCACTCCAGCCTGGGCAAGAGAGCCAGGCTGTGTCTCAAAAAAATAAAAATAAAAAAATAATAATAATAAATTAGATTTGGTAGCCTGAGGGCAATTCTGCTTCTGTCTTAGCACTGGGCATAAAAGCCAGATGACCTCTGGCCACACAGGCTTTTTCTTTTTAATTACATTTGGAAGCTAAAGTTTCTCAAACTCTCAGACAAGGCAGAGAGGAAACATTAGGTCTGACGCCTCCACCAAAATAAATGATGTGGCATTACAAGTATAGAACAGGTCAAGAAAAGTAAACTGAGTTGAAAGCAGAAAAGCCTATAGTAAGCAGAAGACAAAGTAACAGATCAAAAGAGGGGGGAGCCCAGGCACAGTGGCTCACACCTGTAATCCCAGCACTTTGGAAGGCCAAGGCAGGCGGATCACTTGAGGTCACGAGTTCGAGACCAGCCTGGCCAACATGAAACCCTGTCTCCGCTAAAAATACAAAAATTAGTCGGGCATGGTGGCACATGCCTGTAGTCCCACTACATAGGAGGCTGAGGCAGGAGAATCACTTGAACCTAGGAGGCGGAAGTTGCAATGAGCCGACATTGCACCACTGCACTCCAGCCTGGGTGACAGAGCAAGACTGACTTAAAAAAAAAAAAAAAAGATATAGTAAAAGAAATGATCAGAAGTAAAATGATATACTAGAAAATATCTATTTAACACAAAGAAGGCAATAATAATGGAGGAAGAGGGGAAAAAAAAGACAGGACATTACATGCACTTAACAACAAAGGCAACATACATGAGTCGAAAAAGGATAGAATTAAAAGGAAAGATGTTGGCAGAAGGAAACCATTTGGTTAATAAACAGAATATAATGAGTATCAAAATAATAAAAGGGGAAGATAGACAATTAAACAATGTCCAGAACAGGCAAATCTGTAGATTAGTGGTTACAGTGACTAAGAAATGGGGGAAGCAAAGAAAAGGAAATGGAGAGTGATTCCTAATAAGTATGAAGCTTCTTTATGGGAAACATCTCTCCTGGATTTTTATGTCAAGTTTTGAAGTAAAAAGAAATAATGGAAAAGTTTTGAGGAAAAAAAGGAAACTGTCAACTCAGCCAACTCTTATTCATGTGTAGGCTTTCGATCCTATACTCTTCTTGAGATTTTTTTAAAAAGTGATCTCTACTAAGGAAACAAGGTAATTTAAAACACCAACATAAGCAAAAAACTCTTTGTTTTTGACATAATTTGTCACAATTTTAAAGTTATAACTTTTCTAAAGGTTGAAATTCAAATAAATGTGACACTTAATCCGTAGCTAACGACACTTATATCAGTTAAACAAATTAGGAATCATTCATGTCCAGTAACTACAGAGAGGCTTCCAAACCACTGGGTAGTTCAGGCTCACTGAAAAATAAAATCATTACCTGTCCACAGCTACAACCACACTCTGCGAGCTGGTCTCACCAACCGATTCTTGAAAGCTGGCCATCTGTCTTTTATCCACTCCGCCACTCACCAAATTACCTGAAACACAATGCACAAAATCAGCAGCACTTCAAAAACAGTAAAGTATTTAGAACAAAGCATCCTGTTATGTCAACATGCAGAGACAGGGGACATAAGAATAAATCTGCAAGTTCAAAAAACAAACATACTGATGATAAAATTAAAGTTATGCTTTGGCATTTGGCATTTAAAATACATTGATAGTATAAGCTTTCTTGTTTGTACCAACCAATACCATTTTTATGGTATTAAAGGCCTGTATTTAGGAAAACAAATTTGAATCAATTGATGTTAATCCAGAGCTCCCAGAACATGTAATGGCTCACACCTGCTGAATGCTTGGTGTGCTTTATGGAATTTCATTCCACTCATCCTCACGAGCACCTAAGAAGTGGGTGCTATTACAATTCTCCATTTCTCTAGAATCCATACTTTTAACCATTACACTGTACTATTCCATTCACTAAATGGGACCTAGAAGCCTACACTCTGTAGTTGGATGGCTAGGGGTTTGAATCATACTACCAAGAGGGCAGTATGACATTGCTCATATCTTTTCACTCCGTGCTTCATTTTTCTCAATCACAAAATAGAGAAGATAACAGTCCCTATTCTCATTGGATTGTTATGAGCATTAAATGAGTTGAAATATATAAACTGAGTGCTAAGAATATGACGTGGCGCATTTGTTTGTCCTATTTACTATTATTACTATGTTACATCAATCAGAAGAGTCTCTTAATCCAATGTATAGCCAGAGAAATAATTCTACTTGCATAAGACTACTGTTTAATTAAAGCCCCCCCTGCCCCCCAAAAGATGGAAGAAATGTTGAAATCTACCCTTTAAAATCTAGAGACACAAATACATACCACTCTAATGTCAGGCACTAGAGATCTGGCCATTTTAAAGCAAATGGTTTTTCTTCCCAATATAGTTACAGGTATAGAAAGAAAAGTAATGCACCCTACTGATTTTGGTAAAATAGACATTTTACTCAACAGTTTAATCACAATTAAGAGAGCTGAAGCAGCATGTTCACTTGCATTCATGAATACACTGTCAGATGGCACAAAAGGAAGAGACAGCTTACATAACAGTCCTGATAAGGTATGAAGGGTTTCATCCCGGTTAACTTGCAAATCTGTGACTGTCAGCTGCGGGGCTTGGTGTCTTACCCAGGCCAAGGCCCATGAACTCTTCTCCTGCCAATGTGTGGCTCTTCAGGCTCCCTTCTCTTTCACGCCCAGATCCAGACAGGTAACGGGTCTTCACACCCGTTCCTATCAGCTGAGCGAGCTCCAGCTGGCTGATGCATTTCAAGATCTAAGAGAAAGAAGGCATGAAGAAATGAGCTCCTACCTTACAGCCTAAAAAAGGGAACAGTAATCTTAATTTAGTAATTAAAGGAAAGTTGGTTCAATGGAGTTATGCCATATAGGTGTTTATGCAAATTTAGTAAGCTCTCAATAAAGAGAGAAAAAGCATTGGACTGAGGTGGGGGATTCCTTCCACTATGCCACTTAATAGGCACACCACTTAGTCATCCCCACCTCCTTTTTCCACTCTCCCCCTGAGATGACAACACACCAGCCTCACTGGCCTCAGTGTTGCTCCTTTAACTTGTCACCTCTTGTCCCACCCCTGGAACTTTGCACTCATTGCTCCTTATGCATGGAATGTTTTCTCCCCATGGCTCGCTCCTTCAATTCCCAGCTCAGACATGTGTGTCCCTCTCAAAGAGATCTTTCTTGACTATCCTGAGATCATACCTTCCCATTACCAGGCCCTGCTCATACTTTCTTTTTTCTTAGTGTTTACCACTTTTTGGTATTATAACATATATTTATTTATTTGTTTGTTTCCTGCCTTAAGTGCCAAGATGGCATTTACTCTGTCTTGTTCACTGCTGAACACTTAAGTTCCTGGCACTTAAAACTGTTGGCAATCGTTAATTGGTTTAACTAAAGGAATAAGAATATGCTCTAGAGCAGGCATGCAGTGGGAGGTAAGACTGAATCTCCTGGTCCTGAGGGATGCCTCTGGTGCTTGAGGATGCAGACCTGCACACAGGCCCTCTCCCACCTGAAGCTTAGCTGTAGAAACAGAAACTGGTCCCAACTTATATCAGAGGAAACACTGGCTACATGAAACTTACTGAGGGATGGCATGTAGACCTCCAGGGAAACCCTGAGGAATTTTCATGGGAACTTCTTACTGAAGCTCAGTGTTGCTTTTCACGCTGACCTTACAATTCAGTCCCAGAGTCCACTACACCACCGAGCACTGCAGAGTATCTTTACTTATACGTTGCTTTTCTCTTGACTGAGAAATGGACTTAATTCCACCAAAGAGAATCATCCCCTGATTTCTTCACACAGCATGATACTGTTAAATTATTATTAGTAAGCTAGTAATGCCCTTTCTTTTGCAGAAGCTGGGGATAGCTGGAATTCGAAGTATGTCACCAATGCTGAAAGGCCAAAGGCTTATTAGTTCCAAGCTGATTTCTCAGGGCTTCTGACAACCACAGAGGTAGCTAATTAATTTTCAACATTTCTAGATCCTACCATAACACTTGGCAGGCAGCAGGAACTTCATATTGGTCATACCTCCCAGCCTAAAAAAAGTTTTAGAAGAAAAGGCAAGTATTCATTGATTCTCTAGCTATTATGACTCCTTAGAAGGCAGGAAATGATTTTAAAAAGCACACACCTCAAAAATTTTTTTTTTCCTTTTAGAGACAAGGTCTTGCTCGGTTGCCCCGGCTGGAGCACAGTGGTACAATCACAGCTCACTGCAGCCTTGAACTCCTGTGCTCAAGCAATTCTGCTCCCTCAGGCTCCCAAGCAGCTGGGACTACAGGCACGCACCACCATGTCTAGCTATTTAAAAAACAATTTTTTTTTTAAAGATACGGGGTCTTGCTATGTTGCCCAGGCTGGTCTGGAACCCTTGGTCTCAAGCAATCCTTCTGCTTCAACCCCTAAAAGTGTGATTACAGGTGTGAGCCACTATGCCCGGCTGTAACTCAGTTATTTCTAACATGGGCTACTCAGAGTTGTGACAGAGAGAGGGAAGGCTGGTGACGAGGGGCGAAGCCAGGTGCCACAAAGAAGACAGCCAGTAACACTGCTGAGTTCTTACTACGTGCCAAATACAGTCCCAAGCCCTTTTCCTTCTCATCACCACCCTATGAAGGCTGCAGAGATAAAGAAGGTGGGACTTGGTGACAAAGTAACCTCCAGGCAGGAAGAGGTGGAGCCCCAAATTGGGCCCCAGCTGCCAGGCTCTAGAGCCTTTACTCTGAGCCACTTGGTCCACATGGAGAAGAAGGATGACAGCAATTTTCTTTCTATGTCAAACCGTCCTTTACATTCTCCATAGCCTCATCTCTATTCTTTCAGTTTTCTCTCTAAACAAAACAGTAATACATGCAGATGGTAGAAAAAACTAGAAATGAAGAAAAACAAGAACAAAACAGTTTCCATTAATTCCATCACTCAGACAAGAATGTTAATGCTTTGGTCTATCCTTTCAAACTCCGTTCTCTGTGCATTTTCCCACAAGAGACAACGCCGTACAATGTCTTATAACTTATAATTTTACTGTGACTGTTTTCCCACAATAGTCTTCAATACCATCTTTAGCTTTTTTTCTGAAATCTCTTTTAATCCATAGGTACCTCCTCCCTTCCACTTATTTTTCTTGCAATTTATTTGCTGAAAAACCTGGTCATCTGCTCTACAGGTCTGTCACACCTAGAGTTTGCAAGCTGTACCCTCATATCTAACAGGCTTCTCTGTTCATTGTTTCTCCTGTAAACTGGCAATATAGGCTTGAATTGATTCAGATTTGAGTTGGGGCTAGCACATTTCTTAGGTAGTATTGTGTACTTCCATCAGAGAGCACATACTATCTGCCTATCTTTTCTTTTCCACAACATTATTTTAAATGGCTACATAACCTAAGGAATGCTGTACCATACTTCAAAAAAACAAAAAAACAATCTCTTATATTGTTGGGACATCTAGTTCTTTTTAACCCAGCCTTTTCCCTAGAACAAATAAAACTGCAACAAACATCCTTTTAAATACATTGTTGTACACATAAGTAATTGCATCCTTGGGTGAGAATCTTAGAATACTGTTTTAAAAAAATGTAAACTCACTAGCACTCTCCTGAACAGTTCATTGTGACTGCCAACCATTTCTAATCAGGCTTCTGGCTTTGTCTTAAATTTATATTGATCATAGGAACTCCCAACCTCCCAAGAGGTACATAATGACTTTTAAAAAAGTGGCATTAATGTGGAAAGAAAGCTGCAACAACAGAAGTACACTTCATGGGGGACACTGGCTACTGGGTGCAAGGGTGCTCACTGTGAGCTGGTGCACCTGAACTCGCCCCCACCTTTCACAGCCCCAGAGAGGGTGATTTTCAGATACACGGGGTACAGTGAGGCTTGACTTCAAGAAAAATTGAATTGACCAAAAGAGATCAACAATGAATAAAAGGAAGTCAGGAGTCATCCTAACTGAGAAAAGGCAATTCAAAGAGACACATACCTCATGCCAAGAATTCCCAAGGTAGTTGCCATCAGTGTGAGCCACTGTGATAAGTGTCTTAATGGTGTCGATGTTTTTCTGCTTCATTTCTGTGATGCTGGAGCTGGCTGTGAGCAGGGAGAAGCGAGCAAGAGCCTGAACATAGGCATCTCGTTCCAGCTGTAACAGAAGCCCGAGAGAAAACACTGTGACTCCAACCCTAGTGTGGCCATTCTCACATCTGCAGGGCTGGCACACTGGGCTTCTCTGATACCTTTTGTATGCACACTGACTGGCTTTCTGCACATTAACACAACAGTTATTCCATGCTAATGCCCTCTCACTTTTGAAACATCTTGCAGAGGCTCTCTATGCACTGCCACATGTTTGAGAAGCAGCTTTTTCCTTTCTAATTGACTTCAAACTTATCTGTCCCATGTTCCATTACGTCTGCTGAATGCTAAGATAGTCACATAAATTGTGACATCTCCAACAATTCTGCCAGGCAGGTCTGTTTTCTTAAGTTTACAAATGAGGAAATGAATTGGTATCTTGGAAAGACATTAGCTGGGCCAATGTTACATGGCTGGAGAAGGGGCAGAGCTGGGTTTTGAAGCCTAAATGGTCTAACTTCAAAGCTTGTGGTCTTGGTATAAAAGAAAATGTCTAACTGTAAAATGAATGGGAACAGAAGATTGAGTTTTTAAAAATAAATGGGGTGCAACTTCTTACAGACTTACAAAGTGATTCATGGGATTTTGCCAACCTCCTAATTTCATAACAGTTTCAGAATTATATTTCATTTATTTGCTTAAGCTTTTCAAGTTTCAGAAGGTTTACAGACATATTCATATTGCACTGAACTACTTGTTTCTCCAGGGAAGAGTTGGAAACATGGGAAATTATAATAAAAACTGATCTTAGAAAATAATATTTTTATACACCAAAGTAGGCAAGTTAGGCAGATGAACAGGAAGTCTGTTTTGTCAAGTCCAGTCAAGTAGCTTGGACCTTACCTTTTTTTTTTTTTTTTTTTTTTTTTTTTAATGTTGAGATGGAGTTTCACTCTTGTCGCCCAGGCTGGAGTGTAATGGTGCGATCTTGGCTCACCATTACCTCTGCCTCCCGGGTTTAAACGAGTCTCCTACCTCAGCCTCCCAAGTAGCTTGGATTGCAAGCATACACCACCACGCCTGGCTAATTTTGCATTTTTAGTAGGGATGGGATTTCTCCATGTTGGTCAGGCTGGTCTCAAACTCCCGACCTCAGGTGATCTGCCTGCCTCAGCCTCCCAAAGTGCTGGGATTACAGGCATGAGCCACTGTGCTTGGCCTACCTATTCTTAAAGACAGCTTTAATCCATATTTCCATTTTTGCCCCTAATGAGCTGTCATCATAAAGCTATGGATTTCTTGTTAGTAGGCATGAGTAAGTAGTTTGCTAAGACTCTTGATTAACTGACAATTTCTGATCATTTCTAAGTTTTGCCAAATCTAAAAGAATACAACCCACGAGTATCTCTGGAGTGTTGCTGACTTATACCTACCTGCATTCCAAAGATGCAGGCAATCCGGATTGCACATCGGATGCCTTCCAAACACAAGGAGGCCACTTCAGTGTCGTCACAGTTCTGGAGTCCAATGCTGTAGGCTGCCAACAGTGGCGTCCACACCAGCTATCAAGGAAGGAAGGTTTCGGTAACATCCAGAGTTTTAGCATGCAAAGAGCAGAATCCGGCTTAGCCACATTGGATACTCACTTTGAACATTGGCCGGACGTGGTCCAAGTGAGTGGCACTTGTAAACGGGGCTTTAGCATGGCTCACAGCCTCCATCAGAGCTTTGGCTGTTTTAGCCATTTGCTCCATCTCCAAATTGTACAGGAGCCGCCGCTGCTTTTCACTAGCCACATCTATAAAGTAAGAGCATGACAGGTGTGGCTAAGTCACTGAGGGCTGGCTACATGCCATGCACTGTTTCAAAAGATGCACAATGTCTAACTCATAAATCCTCCTAACCATTTCATGAGTCTGTTACAAATATTATTACCATTTACAGATGAGAAAAATGAGGCAGAGGGGGTAAGTCACTTGCCCAGGGTCATACAATTACTAAGTAGAGGAGCTAGGACTTGATCTACGGCAGTATGGCTTGAGAGCCTGCACTCTACACCACAACCCTTTGCTGCTTCTCAAAGAAACTGACAGCTCCCCAGGCGCCATAACTAAGAGAATTCTAATCAAGGTGGGCACAATCACCACTGAATTAAAGCAAAGTTTTAAGGAATACTTTGTGGGAGTAATTTAGTTATCAGATTACTACTTGTAAATTCCTTCTTGCTCCTCATCAGAAATCTAGCAAGACAGTGACATTATAAAAGACCCAATAATAATTAATTCAATCACATTTCCTATTCAGATATCTAGATATGTACATTAAATTTATCACCACAGTACCTAATCATGCATTCTGATACACTCCGGAATTAGAATTAAAAGAAATAATTTGCGATTAGAACTTACTCTGCTTTGTAGATTTGGTTGCAATACTGTGCTCTTTTGTTTCTTTCATTGCAATTTTCTTGCCTTCTATCTCTTCATAGATGCTTGAGAGATACTCTTCTGGCAGGTCTTTACTATCATTGATACCCCGATTCATTTTAATATACTGCTCTTTTGTCATTTTATTTTTTACCTGAAATTAAAAAAAAAATTACAAACCATTTTAAAAACATCCAACTGCCCAAGTAAAACCACTTTTAGCTACTACAACATGTAAATCATTAAAGTACTTTACCTGAGGACTGTGCAAGTCTGTAGTTAGCATAATAATTGAATATGCTAGGACATAAGCAGTGTCAGCACTAGCAAACAGAGTTTGCCTGGAGGAAAAAAATTCAAGATATCAACATTCATGGTAATGAGGTTTGGAAGGTACAATGCTAACAGAGACACACTTCACAAAAAAAGCAGCCGACTACTCCCCCCATTCCAAATGAGGCAGGAGTTTTCGTGCTTTCATTATCACTGAACAAGACATAGCAACCCGAACTGTAGAAAAATCTCATTAAGAATCCGTATTAGCCGGGCGCGGTGGCTCACGCCTGTAATTCCAGCACTTTGGGAAGCGGAGGCAGGCGGATCATGAGGTCAAGAGATCGAGACCATCCTGGCCATGGTGAAACCCCGTCTCTACTAAAAATACAAAAAAATTAGCCAGGCGTGGTGGCACACACCTGTGGTCCCAGCTACTCGGGAGGCTGAGGTGGAAGAATCGCTTGAACCCAGGGGGTAGAGGTTGTAGTGAGCCGAGATTGCGCCACTGCACTCCAGCCTGGCGACAGAGCAAGACTCCGTCTCCCCCCTACCAAAAAAAAAAAAAAAAAAAAAAGAGAAAGCATCATATTTTAGGCTTCTTTGGCAAGGTGTGGGGGCTCACACCTGTAATCTCAACACTTTGGGAGGTAGGTGGATCCTTGAGGTCAGGGGTTTGATACCAGCCTGGCTAATATGGTGAAACTCCGTCTCTACTAAAAATACAAAAATTGGCTGGGCATAGTGGCAGGCTCCTGTAATCCCAGCTACTCGGGAGGCTGAGGCAGGAGAATCACCTGAACCCAGGAGGCGGAGGTTGCAGTAAGCTGAGACTGCCAACTGCACTTCAGCCTGGGTGACAGAGCAAGAGTCTATCTCAAAAATAAATAAATAAATAAATAAAAATGTAGGCTTCTTTGAATAAAGCAATTTCAAATAAATTTTTTAAAAAGACCCCAAGGAGCATCTGGGGCCAAGAATAGAGCAAGGCAAGTGGGCACATCAGGAGACCTTACATTCAGTGCTGACCCTCAGAGAGGGCATCTCACTACATTTTGCACACTAACTGCCTCGAGTGCCTCCCCCAACCCTCCCCCAATATTTCCCCCAAAGGAAAATATTTACGTTGTTCTAAACAACATGCTGGTGAAGTCTGACTTTTTTGCCTATGCCAGAAGAGAAAGACAACATGTGGATGCACAGACTTATAAGATATGAGGCTGAAGCTAGAAGCTGTCCTGTCCAAACTATCCATAATAGGAAAAGTAGAAATTCTGAAGAACACAACAAAAGGTCTTTTAATATGAGATGTAATTGGGTCACATATTAACTGACTGAGCAAAACAGACCAAGGTTTCCAGGTCCACAGAGGAGGTACGTTTAAAGTAAATAGCATCTAATTATGCCTTCAGAGAGAGATCTAATGTCTATTTGGTTAAAATGATCATATGGTGCCTTTGCCAATCCTGCCATCTCCTGGGGACAGCATGCTATATGCTGGGAGGACTGGGACCAATTAATATGAAAACAAAGTTGACTTTAGAGGCAAACTGTTATTAAAATGTTTCAAGCAGGTGTAGTAGGTCACATCTGTAAATCCCCCACTTTGGGAGGCCGACGCTAGGGGATCCCTTGAGGCTATGAGTTCAAGACCAGACTGGGCAACATGGTGAAACTCCATCTCTGCAGAAATGTTATACAAATGATTAGCCAGGCACAGTGGCACGCACCTGTAGTCTCGGCAATTCAAGAGACTGAGGTGAGAGGAGTGACTGAGCCCAGGAGATCCAGGCTACAGTGATCCGCGACCATGCCACAGTATTCCAACCTGGGCAAGAGAGCAAGACTCTGTCTCAAAAAAAAAAAAAGAAAGTTTCTGCTGAGCAATTTCTACATTATGGTCACAGTATATTCAGACATATTTCTAATTTAATGTTCAGTGGAGAGAACATGAACTTTTTTCTTTTTTTTGAAATAGAGTCTGCCTTTGTCGTCCAGGCTAGAGTACAGTGGCGCAGTCTTGGCTCATTGTAGCCTCCGACTCCCAGGTTCAAGCGATTCTCCTGCCTCAGCCTCAGAGTAGCCAGGATGACCTGGCTAATTTTTTTGTATTTTTGGTAGAGATGGGCTTTCACCACATTGGCCAGACTGGTCTCAAACTCCTGACCTCAAGTGATCTGCCTGCCTTGGCCTGCCAAAGTGCTGGGATTACAGGTGAGAGCCACTGCGCCTGGCCCAGACATGATGAGCTTTTGAGTTAGATAAATCCATATTCAACCCTGGCTCTGCTCCTTACTAGCTGATTAATTCTGGACAGGCTGCTTAATCTCTCAGATTCTCAATTTCCTCATCTGTAAAACAGGGATACTATTCCCGGGCTTGCCATTTATTAAATGAAATGCATGTAAAATCCATGGCATGGCTCATACACAAGAGGTATTTAATAATGGTCTGTTCTCCTTCCTATTTCCACTTCTTACAAAATCACGAACCGCCCATCGAAAAAGGTCCCCAAATAAAATCGCATACTTTGGTGGTTTTTATTAGCTATGTAGCCATTTCTGTAACCTGCTCATCAGTATGTAATCAAAGAAAAACCAAAATCCTTGAGACCTACTCCATATATTAAATCAGGGGGACTGTTTTTGATTAGGGAAGAGGTACCCAATTGTCTCCTCTCAACTTATGAAACTACTCTTTTATAGAAGCTAACAGCACAGAGCTAACAGCACACGCTTTAGCTGTGTGATCTTGGGCAAGTTAACCTCTCTGGTCCTCAATCTCTTTGTCTTGTAGGATAGAGACATAAACAGATTATGTGAGGTCTTATGTGAAATAATCCCTTAGCACAGTGCCTGGCACACAGTAAACAAAAGCTCTAGTTGCTTGGAACAGATATACAAAGATTAAACCCCAACCAAATTAAAACTAGTGTTCTGAGGCAGGCAAACAGATGATCTGGAAGGGACTCAAAATCAGTGCTCACCCTTGGTTGCATTCTATGTATCTTGCAGCAAACTTCTCCATTAATCGGTCAATCTTTTGGGCTTCCCCAGGTAGGCGGAAACCTTCTAGGAATGTCCGCAGAGCTGAGACAAATTCTTTTTCACAGAAGTCAAGCTGGTCCACGTAGGCATACATCACCTCCTTGTTGAACCTTGCACTATCGCCCAGAAAATCGCCTACTTGGGTCTGAAACATATACATTCACTTATATCTAGAAATTGTCAAATACAAACCCACAGCAAAAGCCAGCAGCCAAGGGGTGGAGTCAGAATAGCCTGGCCCTAACTGGTCAGAACAGGCTGAACTAGAGTGCTTAAAAAGCTAGGGAATTCCCTGATCTGCCCACCTACCCACCCCTTCCAAAAGCAACCTGTCCTGCATGGATGAAGGAAGAGGAGGGGAGGCACAAGAGACTTAAAATGGAGAGAATGACGGGGCACGCTCAGGTTAGTTGTAGACAGGCAGCCAGAAGAACTGTTTCTAGCATTCAAGGAACATTTCTAGCTCTGACACTCACCCAGCAAATACACAGCCATCTGCTAGGAGGCTAGTTTATTCCCATCAAAGAGCTTTCTGCAACACTAGCCAAAGGGACACACAGGACTGTGGTAACCAAGGAGTGGACAATAGACAGTGTACTCAGGGCCACCCAATCTCAAGGTAAAAACTGGTAAGGGATCACAATCGCCTGACAGAACTCACATGCAAGTGCTACAACCCCAGCCTTACAGAATCCAGGCGCTCCTCCTGGTGCAGGAATTGGGCTATGTCTTCAACTGACGTTCCCAGCATGCCCTGCTCCTGGAGAAACTGGATCCCCCTCTTGGGTTTCTTGTTGAACCTGTTTCAAGCAGAGATGGGACACAAGCTGCTTATTTCAGAACCTGGAGGATAGCAAAAGCTGGTATTTGAGATAAATCATAATAGAATACTAGGAACAAGCGATCACATATAAGCTAGTAAGGTCACATCTGTCCTAGCAGCTTTTCCAAATTCCACCTTCAATTTCTGACCCAGCTATGTCTGGTCAGAGTCTGCTGGTTGTCACTTCATATCCATGCTGCCCTTCTCCAATACCAATAGAACCCTAGGTGTTTAGTTGGGAACACAGCCATGTGGAATAAAAACATTTCCCTGCCTCCCTTAAATCAAGGATGGCCACGTGATAAACTTCTAGCCAGTGAGATATGACCAGAGGTGGTGTGGGTACTTCTAGGAAGGATTCTTAAACAAAGCTGACTCAGGAGGGAAGTCTGCTCTTTTCTCTTTTTGTTCTTTCCCTCTTCTCCAGAATGTCTGTGGGATGACTGGTACCCTAGCAGTCATCTTATACCATGAAGCCACTCTCTCTGGCTAAATATGGTGAAGCAGACAGATAAAAGGCACCTGGATCTCTGATGTTCTTAAGAGCAACCATAAGAGCCTTAGACCTGTCTGCTTTTGGATTTCCTTGAGCGAGAAATACAGAGTTAAGCATGTTATTTTGTATTTATTTATTTTTTTCCCTTTCTCTACTTTTTCTTTTTTTTTCAAAGATACAGGGTCTCACTGTGTTGCCCAGGCTGGTCTGGAACTCCAAGCGATCTTCCCACCTTTGCCTACCTAAGTGCTGGGATAAAAGGCATGAGCCACCATGCCCAGCCCATTTTGTATTTCTTGTTAAAGGAAGGCAAAGCTAACCAATGTGTATAGACGCAACTTATTATTTACCAGGCCTGAAGCTGGAGGGTGATATTCATGTGTAAGCACAAACTGGCAAGTGTCATGAAAGACACAAATGGGGCAAGGACAGAAATTAACTTGGGATCTGTTCAGATAGTGCAGTTGCCAAAGTTGGCCTCTTTGAGGAAGAGATGTTTTACCAAGTCTGTGGAATGAAAAAGAGCCAAGAGAATTTCAAGCAGAAGACACCATGATGAAAAGAGCTGGAGGTGTTCAAGGGACTGAAAATACATCATGTGACTCGGGGGAATTGGCAGGAGATGAGATCAGCAAGTGAGGCCAGAGGCTGGGTCAGGCCATGGCGCAGAACAGGAAAGCTGGAATGATTTAGGCAGGAGAGTGATAAGACTTGATTTATGTTTTTAAAAGATTACTTTAGCTGCCGTGGGCAGAATACACTGGAGGGAGGTAGGGTGGTGAGGGTAGAAATGAGAAGATCAAATTAATCAATTAATAACTGAGTACTGTAACTTCAACTTTTAGAATAAGTTGAATTTACTAAGTTATCTAGTCATTTACAAGTTGGAATATGATATATGACTTTGTATATGTTGATGTGTGTAAAAGATTGGAAAGAAACATATAAAGATTTACCAATGATTGTGATGATGATGTTGTGATTATATGGGAGAATGTCCTTTATTTTTCAAAGAGATTCGGCTGAGGTCTCATGTTGGCTACCAATTACTTTCAAATGGTTCAGAAAAACATACATATAAAATAAAACAAAGAAGACAAACAGTAATTTTTTGGCATGTTGAAATTTTTCATAATATATAGTTGGAAAAATATGCTACCAATGGTGAGTTCCTCAGGCAGTAATTTTATGAATGATTTTTACATTCTTACTTTATACTTTTCCGTATTTTCTAAATTGGTTTTATTATTTTCATTAGAAAAGGAAAAATAAATGCTGTATCAACCCACAAAGGTATTAAAAGTTTTCTCTCTTGGTGCATAGACATACACACATACTCATTCACTCATTGCCTGGATCAATCAGGCTTGGCTACAAGGGCCAGCATCAGCCTTTTGTAAACAGGCATTTCCTTTTTAGAAATCAGTCCCAGGTTCCCAGAGAAAACATGGCTTTGCCAGAATCCCTGAGAGTGGAAGGCTGGAATGGCAGCCACACTCACAGCTCGATGCCGTGTTCGATGATTTCCTTTTGTTGCTTGATGACTTCAAACTGCTCAGGGTCGTCCTGAATGGTTGTCTGGGTCCCCGAGGACACTGTGGACTCCATGGATGTCACACTACACCGTCTCGCCATGTCAAGGCCTTTCCCATCCCCCATTTCCTGATCCGCAAGCCTCTCCTGACCTGCAGGGACACAAAAGCAAAGCAAATCAAATAAGCAGGTGGGACACAGACACAGCCAAGCAAGGTCTGGCAGCACGGCCCCCTTTCCCAGATCTGTAATAGCAACAAGTCTATACCATAAGGAACATAAGCATGAAACCTTAATATTACTCAGATACTTTACTTAAAAACTTATTTCTTCATGGAACTTGATGAGCTAATTCTAAAATTCACATGAAAAAGTAAAAAGGGTAAAAAGCAGTCAAGACAACTTAAGAACACTGAATAGGAGGACTTGCCCTATAAGGTACCCAAAACAAGTGTGGTATTGGTGTTAAAACAGATAAACAGAAAAGAACAGAAAATCCAGAAAGAAGGCAGGGACAGTGGCTCACATCTGAAATCCCAGTGCTTCGGGAGGCTGAGGCGGGAGGATCACTTGGGTGGGAGGATCGCTTGAACCCGGGGGTTTAAGGCTGCAGTGAGCTACAATCACATCACTATACTCTGGTAATGGAAAGATACCCTGTCTCTTAAAAAAAACTGAAACTGCACAAACAGACTTACATACATAGGAAAATATGGTATATCATAAGGGTGAGGCTTTGAATCAGTGAGGGAATGAGCAACTACTAAAAAGGCACTGGAACAACTGGCTATCTGAAACAATGAAGTTCCAGCACAACTCCAGATGCATTAAAAGCAGGACTTTCAAAATAATATAGGTATTTAGCAAACTGAAAAGTCTTTTTCAATTCTAAGACAACTATAACAAGATAACTGTTCCCAGCAGTCGTGGGAGCCTATTATGAATAGAGGTGGGTGTGGCAGCAATGCTCTCTTACCGAGACTGGTCTGGTGGTTGGGATTCACATACAGGTCTTTGCTCCACTCCACCATGCACTTGAGAATGGACACGAGGCACTCCAGGCCTTTCTTCCTCAGGCTGAGCTCCTAAGGGACAAAGTGACACAGGGTAGAGGCTTAACAGAAAAATGAAGAGACATCTACGGGGCTCTTTGGGACCCCTGTGAGGCTATGGGATAAGACAGTCAGTGCTATTAGGGATGAAACAAATCCAAGGCTAAGAAATGACAAGTATTAACGATACATTGCAAAAACCCTGGATATCTCTAAATGTGTGCATTATAAACATCCCAGCAGCAAAAATATGGGATATGCGGTTTCCTAAAATGAACAATGTTATTTGAATTTTCGAAGTTTTCATTCACTGCTTGTGTGATTTAAAGAAAAAAAAACCTTAAATTTTAAAAATTTTTTAAAAAATAACAAGGTCTTGCCAGCCACAGTGGCTCATGCCTATAATCCTAGCACTTTGGGAAGCCAGTGCAGGTGGATCACCTGAGGTCAGGAGTTCAAGACCAGCCTGGACAACATGGTGAAACTCCATCTCTACTAAAAACACAAAAATCAGCAGGGTGTGGTGGCAAGCACCTGTAATCCCTGCCACTCGGGAGGCAGGAGAATCACTTGAACCCAGGAGGTGGAGGTTGCAGTGAGCCGAGATCACACCACTGCACTCTAGCCTGGGTGACAGATGGGAGATTCCGTCTCAAAAAACAAAACAAAACAAAACAAGGTCTTAACTAGTGACTCTGAAAAAAGGAGAAAAGAACCTTGAATTATGTAGCAAGTAAGTAACTCTGGATACAATGTATCCCCTAAATACCACAAATACATTCCAATTTTAAGGCTCACTCTTTAAGTAAATAAAAATGCTGACTTTCAAAAATAAATAGCATTCTTAAATAACAAGTTGAATATGAATATATCTAACAAAAATGCAGCTGGACACGGTGGCTCACACCTGTAATTCTAGCACTTTCCAAGGCCGAGAAGCGCAGATCACAAGGTAAGGAGTTCAAGACCAGCCTGGCCAACACAGTGAAACTCCATCTCCACTAAACATACAAAAAAGTTAGCTATGCGTGGTGGTGTGTGCCTGCAATCCCAGCTACTGGAGAGGCTGGGGCAGGAGAACTGCTTGAACCCGGGAGGTGGAGGCTGCAGTGAGCCAAGATCATGCCATTGTACTCCAGCTCTGGGAGACAGAGCAAGACTGTCTTGGAAAAAAAAAAAAAAGAAAAAAGAAAAAAATGCAAATATATTAGATTCAAAACAGCATCTCAGGCAGCAAAGATCTCTGTGATTCTAATGACAATTATGACCACCTTTTAGGAAAAATGCCCATACACCAAAATTCTTCACATAAATTGGACCAGTTCATTCAGAAGCCTAGAGTTAAGCATCCTATTTTCTTTGTAGGTACTCTAAATAGTAGTCTGCTACTAGGCAATCTTCTTTGCCTGTATGCAGACTGGGATCCTGTTTTCCACACTATCTTTGGAAGGGTGACTGAGAATGAATTTGCTTCCAATGGGTCTCAGCTCAAAGGTCACCTTCTAAGGTACTACCCTGAGGACCCCATTAAGAATTACAGCACCTTACCTCCAGCACCTCACCTCCAGCACCTCCTCTGCTGTCCCTGTTTTAGTATTCTCTGAAGCCCTTATCATCAACTGAACTGACTTCTTTAATGTCGTTTCATGATGGCAGGAATTGTGTGCATACATATGCATGTTTTGTTTACTATATCAAGGACAGTGCCTGTCATGTGGTGGCAATCAATAAATGTTAACTGGAATGAATGAACTTTTAATATAAGTGATTGTCCGCAGTGTTTTTTTACCTGTAGAGGTGTCATTCCAAGCTCATGTCCACTTCTTCCCTGAGCAATTTTGGATAAATCATTTACAAGGCGCTCGAAAATGTTAGCAGCATTTAAATCACAGTCGTAGTTGACATAAATATCCACAACACACTGGGCATCTTGGAAAAATAACATATAAGTATCAGAAATTCTGATCAAATAGCAGTTATGTTTTCTTACCAAACAAGATCTGTTTGCCAACAAATTTCCCCAGTGAACTACTAACCTGGTGGCCACATCTCACTCAGGAAACACATGTTGGACGTACTAGGAAGCTGGCAGAGAGGAGGCCATTATCAGGCCTGCTTCTGAGCAAAATGAAATCTCAGGCAGTTCATTCCACCCATCCAAGGCTCACTTTTCACATCAAGGAAGGGGCTAACGACTACCTGATCCACCTCTTAAAGTTGTGTCACTCTTACAAAATTGCATTTGATGCCAGACAAGTAGGATGCTTACTTTAGGCCACCTAATTGTATTGTGTAAGGTAAATGCACATGTACCACAGCACCCAATTGGTAGCACCAGTATCTCAGGTCCTGTGATTAACAGTGCTCAGCTTGTAGGTAATGTGACCAAGTGTCCCAGTTTGACAGGATTAGGGGATTTCTGGGACATGAGACTTTTAGTGTTAAAACCAGGAAGTCCTGGGCAAACCAGTCTGAGTTGGTCATCCTCTAAAAAAGGAGAGGTGGGGCTAGTCATTAAGTCAGAGTTAGCCTTTAAAACTCTAAAAGGAGGGGTTGAAAGTCTTAATGTGAGCTTTGGCAAATTAAAGCATCAAAAGTGTTTATGAGTAAGTCCAGTGGATGAGTGTCCCCAGGTGAAAATACCTGCACAGATCCTTGTCAGAGTCTGAATGACCATCCATCTGTGCTCAAAAGAACTTGTTGATGTTTCTAAAATGTTCAGGAAAATTTCTTTGAAAAAGACCTATATGACATGAAGACAAAGGAGGACACTAATTAACAGTTTCAACCAGGGCTCAAAACATCCAAAGTCTTCAGCAGCCAGGCCGATCCTGCAGTAAGTAAAGCACCCTGGGCAGAAGGAAAAGAGTGGGGCGCCTGCCCAGCTGAGCAGCACTGTGACCTTGGCCTTGGTGGGGATGGCTGGCGGGGGGTGGCGGCCATCAGGGGAGCTGCCAAGTGGAAATGCAGGACCCATGTTGTGACTTTTTGGAGACAAACCAGATACCTGGATTTTCATGTAAGGTAGGATTTCTCAATTTGGCAACTAATCTAAATGATTTCAAACAATTTACAGACCAAACAGACATATTTAGGGGTTAAGCCCAGCACACAGACCATCTCCTTTGGTTAAAATGAAAGGCACAGAAGATCTGGGGGCAGTAACTTTTTATAAAAAGATATTCTCTTACTCATTCAAAAAGTTCTGATTTACTGGGGTGCTAGCTGATGCATATGCCATTCACAACCCTCCCTGCCCCTGCCCATCCCTGAGTTCAGGGATGGTAAGATATGAAACACTTTCATAAACTATTTTCCTAATGCCTACAGTAATATTAGCAGCATTCTCAATATTGAGTATTATTATTAATGACTAATAATGATAGTAAATAATCAAATGAAAAAAATTTGGAGTCCATACCTCTATCTGCATTTTCAAGTGCATTTTAAAGTTTGAAAGAAGAGTAAGAAAAATGGCAAGAGAGAGCTCAAAGACATCAGGCACTGAAGAGACGCCGTTTTTGGACAAGGCCACACAGAGATATTGCTTGATTGCATTGATGAACATCTCATGAGTCCTGAACACAGGGCCAGCATTTTGCAACACAGAGAGAAGCAGCTGCAGGGAAACCACCTTGGAACGTAGCTCATGGGATCTGGCAAAGAAAATGAAAAACCACAACAGTGCTAAAAGATAAAATGTCAAACAGTATGTTTCTTGAGAAGGCCTTGCTCCTCTGACAATGAGCAGAATTTTCTGAGAAGCCAATGAGTTAAGAATTAATAGCACCTAAATGTCAGGAGAACGAGGGCAGATGGCATGAGGTGGGTCCTTCTGGAACTGCAGGCCCTTTGAGAACAAGAGCTGCCAACTCCTTTTTGTCCCTCTCCATCACAAAGTAGAGAATACAGCAGGAGCAAAGTAAGCATCAACTGACTCTGGAGAGAGGGTTGTGCAACTGCACTGATGGAACCAAGACTTTATATCACTTGTGGGAGGCTGAGTCACCTGGCTCACCCTATCTTCACGCACCACGAAAATGGTGCTCTATCCACCTACCTCACAACCCTCCCTCCCCGCTGCCCATCCCTGAGTTCAGGAATGGTAAGAAATGGTAAATTTTCGAGAACTATTTTCTTGACATTTATTTTTATTTTTTAAAATTTATCGTTTGAGACAGAGTCTCGCTCTGTCACCCAGGCTACAGTTCAGTGGCAAGGTCTTGGCTTACCGCAACCTCTGCCTCCTGGGTTCAAGCGATTTTCTTGCCTCAGCCTCCCAAGTGGCTGGGATTACAGGCATGCGCCACCATACCCGGCTAATTTTTGTATTTTTTGTAGAGATGGGGTTTCGTCTTGTTGGCCAGGCTGGTCTCGAACTCCTGGCCTCATGTGAGCCACCCGCCTCAGCCTCCCAGAATGCTGGGATTACAGGTGTGAGCCACCACATCCGACCTATTTTCCTAATACTTATGATAGTATTAGCAGCATTCTCAATAGATGAGTTGAGGATTATTAATGACTAATGACAAGAACAATAGTGATAATTTATAAAGTACAAGGCCCCATGCTCAGGACAACATTGATATTTCATTTAATCAATCTTGTAAGATGATTTTCCATTATTTCCATTTTTCAGATGAGGCTTGGTAAGTCCTATAGCCAAGGAACTGCTCTCAAGTGGAGGGGCCAAGATCTAAATGCAGCCTTTTCTGGCTCTGAAACCTCTGCTTTCTTCACTCCACAGTGCTGACATCCTTGTAGTAGTTTGTTTAGTGCAAAGAAATGTCTGGTTTCCCTGTGTCAAATCTGGGGCTTACAACTGTACTGATGAAGCAGAGGTTTCCAAACAGAACAGGGAACTGAGGCTTGCAGGCATCCTGTCCTCCCTATTCTATATCACGAGATTCAATTCACTAGCTAGTAAAAATGTGTTTTTCATATGTTCAACAAACAGACTGTTTTTTTGCATTCCCATGCCAAAAAAAGAGAAACTGAGCAAAATCTTGGTTGGTGGGGATAGTGAGACAATTCAATATGAAAGGGCTGTAGAGACTATGAGTCTGAAAAGTTGTAAAACCATTCCTGCACTTACACCGACAATGAGACATGATGCTGGGACTTCTTGGAACAAAGGGAATGTGAAACACAGTACCAGGTGCTACTGGATCATTGGGTTTAAGATGGTCTGCTTACTTTGGGTCTGGAGGGCCTTCACCAAGGGGTTTCATGGACAGCTTGCACAGGGAGCGGAACACAAGGAAGGCATCCTTCTGCAGAACATGGGAGAACCTGGCAGCCACTTGATGTCCTTGTGCATCAGATTCCTAGGATTAGAAACAAACATCAGCAGGGTGTGGTGGCATGTATCTGTAGTCCCAGCTATTCAGGAGGCTGAGGCGGGAGGATCCACTGAGCCCAGGAGGTCAAGGCTGCAATAGGCCATGATGACACCTCTGCACTCCAGTCTGGGCAACACAGTGAGATTGTATCTCAAAAAATAAAAAGGGAGGGAGAAAAAACAAAAGCATAACTCTTACCAAAAATAAGAAATGTAATCATCTCAGGGAAATTCAAATTCTTCTATTTATTTAACAGGGAGATGAGGGATGTGGGGGAGGGGAAGATAGGACAAAACAGGAGCTATGGAGGAATCATCACAGCAATTCTACAACCTTGTTCCTTGTTCTTCAGAGATGGTGTGGGTGGTTTAAAATGAAAAATAATCAAAAGTTAAGCTGTAAAAAGAAACAAAACACAGGCAATTATATTAGCTTGGGTAAGAGAGGTATGTCTAAGAATATTTTTGTAGGCCAGCTGCAATGGCTCATGCCTGTAATCCCAACACTTTGGGAGGCTGAGGCGGGCAGATCACAAGATCAGGAGTTCGAAACCAGTCTGGCCCACATAGTGAAACCCCATCGCTACTAAAAATACAAAAAATTAGCCAGGTGTAGTGGCACACACCTGTAACCCCAGCTACTCAGTAGGGTGGGGAAGGAGAATTGCTTGAACCCAAGAGGCAGAGCTTGCAGTGAGCCAAGATTGCGCCACTGCACTCCAGCCCAGGCAACAGTGTGAGACTTTGTCTCAAAAAAAAAAAAACCAAAAATAAAAATAAAAATAAATAAATAAATAAAAAGCAGGTTGCAACACAGGATACATACTGTATTATTCTATTTAAGTGGAAAAATGTGTGAGATGCAGAAAAATCTAGAAGGATATAAGTGAGATGTTAACAATGGTAATCTCTGGGTTATCAATGACTTTCCCATACATACTGACTTCTCAATACAGAGAAGGAAAAACAGGTAACTATATATTTTATTTTTCCATAATGAATTATACTATTTTGAGAGAGAAGAAAAGTGGCAGGAATTTAAGTGTTTAAAGGTCTGAGTAAACAGGGTTTAATAATGATGTTATATACCAAGCAACATTAGCACCTTCCAAGAACTGAATGTGCTAATACAAAGAATATCAGCCCAGGACTGTGTGACTAATAAATGAATATGGCTTATTTTACTTGCTTTTTTTGAGAAAAGGTTTAATTCTGCATATTTTGAAAAAGAAAAAATGGCAATGAGTCCACACAGGATATCACCAACATACCAGATTATCTGCTGATGACAAAGACTGCCTGTCATCTGCTATCCCGTTGGTCTGTGAGTTTTCATCAACTCCTGGAGGAATAGCACATTCCTGGCACTCCAGTTCACCTAGAGCTCTCTGAGGTTCTGTCAGACCATGCTTTTCCGCTGCTTCTTAAAACACAAGTACAAAGTCATAGCCAAATTAGTACTGTACTTACCCCCGAAGGTTGCCTGACACCAGAAAGAAGTTATTTGTGTAACCTCCCAGCCGTTGCTTTTTCCCCTTTTCCTGTGCCACCAGCCCATGACTGACATAATCCTGGAAAAGGCATGGCCAAAGTGATGCTTCAGCTTTACAAGTTATCTGTTATCCACAGCCCCACTGCCAGGGCCACAACAATACACAATTCTCTTCAGGTCAATGGTGCCTCCAGAATTGCAGAATGCAGCCGTCCTGCCCACCCATCCCCATTCATTTTTGAAAAAGATTAGAAGCAGCTAACCCTGAAAAGTATAGATTTTTTAAAAGTACCATTAGTAAAAGAATTAGAGAAGAGCCAGTTATGATAGAAAACCTTAGTCACAGAGAAAAAATGTAAACCTGGGCTTCCTGGCAGCCATGTGAAAAAGGGAAAGAATTAAAGAATTAAATAGATTTCATCATTTAACAAAGGAAAGCATATCTGATGATTGGCAGAGCAATGAAACTCTAAGAAAAATTTATAATGTGGTTCTTTATATACAAAAGGGACATGAAACAACTTAATGAGAACAATTTTCAATAACAGCTTTTACAAAATATATTTCATTCAACAAATATTAAGTGCCTATTATGTGCCAGGTTCTGCAGTAGTGGCTTGAGGGCACAAAGTAAACAAGACAAACATTCATTATGTGATGACTTCTTGTATAGAGCCCAGAAACAAGCCTAAAGGTAAGAAATAAAATTTTTCTATTTTACAGGCATTCTGTAAGAAGTAATAATAGAATATGTATATAGCTTTGTGGTACCTTAACAAAAAGATAGGGCTTAGAAAAGTGGCTTTTAAATCTTGACTTCTGTAAGAAATTAATTTTTAAAATTATATCCCAGTACAGACACATGCACATAAACTGAAACACATTTAATGAAACAATACTTAACGTTATATGTGATGCAGTCAGATCATTTGTACTCTATTTCATTTTACTCCCTTTCATTTAAAAAAATGCTGATTATAACCCACTAACATCTTGATGTCTGGACCAATTAATGGTTTATTGGCACTGGAATCAAGTGTTCAGCATACAGCCACTGACCTGAGATTTTAGGCAGAAACAAAGAAAAAAACATCATCTAATAGTCATTCTGAGCTATACAAGTTTAATTCCACTGAAACTATACCATGAGGCAGTTATGAATGAAGCCTAACTAACTAAAGCTTCCCTGTACACCTGGCACCTACTGACATGTGGACTGTCCTCTTGACACAACAATAGCTGGCCATGGAAACTCAGCTGCAATGGACATGGATCTCAGGGCTCACAGCCCACTCCTAGAAAAACCTGGATACCCCCTAATCTAGAAGGCAGATGGAATGGCCCTCTACGTCTCTATGTGGAGCATCTAAGCTGTCAGATTATGTTTCTTAAACCAAACCCAAATGAGAATAAAATGAGTCAGTAAAAACAAGTCATTTTTGAATCCCATATAAAAGATGGGCAGACATGGGAAGATTCAGTTTCCATGAGCTCCACAAGTTCTCGGGGCAGAGAGGAGGAAACTTCACACTATAATATTTTGCTGAGGACTTTTTGGAGGAATGAGGGAAGAGAAAAGGCTAGGTTGTCCTTGGTTTTTACCTTTAATGGCGGAGGTGACTACATCTTCCAAAATGTCCTTCACCACCTCCTGGGCTCCATCATCAGTCCCTGTACACACACCCAAATACAAAACACACATAAGCATTTCCAGGAAAAACAAAGGAAGAGAGGGAAGGAGATTACGGAGAGATGCATTTCAGAAGGCAAGGGTACAAACAAGTTCTCCCAAAGGCCAAATCTGATTGTGCCAATGGAGGACAATTACCTTGAAATCTGGAAACTTAGGCAGCATCTGTTCTGCTTTTGAGGTTCCCTTTGTGGAGCACTAAAATCCCACTGTCTTGTACTCTCTTCCTTCCTAAGTCTCAGTGGCTTGGCCCAGGGCCCTTCCCACCACCCTCAACTTGGAGGCAGGAGTTCGATTTTAATCAGCCTAGGGTTCCTGGCAGAACAAAAGATGGAGCTTTCTCTTGTGCCTGAGCCTCAGGGACCAACAACTTGCCTTCTGCTGCTTCGCCTTCCCACACTGGAAACCCAGAATTTGGTATGAGATTTCCAATGTGACAGTTGAGGATTTACTAAACTTTTATGAAATTATTCTGTAAAATGTTAACTGTTTAAGCAGAAGAGGTTTGGTATCTCTTTTTTTTTTTTTTTCCAGAACACTAGTTCTGGGAAAGAGTTCATATAAAGTAAACAGCTCTTGGCTAGATGTTTAGAAGTAAACATTACTCTTTTTTTTTTTTTAAAGACAGGGTTTTGCTCTCTTGCCCAGGTTGCAGTGCAATGGCAGCATCCTAGCTCACTGCAACTTCTGCCTCCTTGGCTCAAGCAAGCAATCCTCCTGCCTCATCATGCCCAGCTAACTTTTGTAGTTTTAGTAGAGAGAAAGTTTCGCTATGCTGCCTAGGCTGGTCATAAATTCCTGAGTTCAAGTGATCAACCCACCACGGCCTCCCAAAGTGCTGGGATTACAAGCATGAGCCACTGCACCTGGTCTAGCATTACTCATTTATAAAACATCGTTTTGACCAAAAAGGCAATCACCTTAAAAAAGCAAAACCAAAATAACCCTCTGACTATGTATTAATGAGGATTTTCAACCCAACTACCATTTTTATGAGTTCTATGCTTGACCTATAAGGTCCTCCTGGAGGGCAGTGCTAAGTATTTTCATTTCCATTGGGCACTTAATACCCTGGAACTATCTATGTGGCAAAGTAAATTTGTGTGGAAAATATTGATGTTACAAGTTTTTCCTAGGAGGCAAAGGGAACTTGAAATTAGAAAACCCCAGAAACAGTCACAATCTACTAAACTCACTTCTTCATCTAAAAAGGATGATTTAGACTATATATCACTGTTACTCAAACTTCATCATTCTCAAACCACCTTCATAATTTTTGCCACATTCATGCACCACTATATTATTATGTATTTTAAATATACTGTCATGTACCACATAACAACGTTTGGTAAATGAGGAACCACACATATAATAGTGGTCCCGGAAAATTACAAATTGAGCTGAAAAATTCCTACCACCTAGTGACATCATAGCTGTCGTTACGTTGCAGCACAACTTATTACTTATATTTGTGGTGATGCTGGTGTGAACAAACCTACTCTGCTACCAGTCATATAAAACCATAGCACATGCAATTCTACACAGTACATAATGGCAATGGTAATAAACGACTATGTTATTAGTTTACGTATTTACTATAATATACTTTCTTTTTGAGAGAGAGTCTCACTCTGTCGCCCAGGCTGGAGTGCAGTGACACAATCTTGGCTTGCTGCAACCTCTACCTCCCAGGCTCAAGCAATTCTCCCGACTCAGCCTCCCAGGTAACTGGGATTAGAGGCGTCTGCCACCACACCCAGCTAATTTTTGTATTTTTAGTAGAGATGGGGTTTCACCACATTGGCCAGGCTGGTCTCAAACTCCTGACCTCAAGTGATCTACCCACCTTTGGCCTCCCAAACTGTTGAGATTACAGGCATGAGCCACCATGCTCAGCCTATACTATACTTTTTATTGTCATTGCCTTCTACTTATTTAGAAAAGAAGTTGTTCACTGTAAAAAAAAAAAAAAAAAAAAAAAAAGTCTTAGGCAGGGCGGGGCACGGTGGTTCATACTGGTAATCCCAGCACTTTGGGAGGCCAAGGCGGGTGGATCACGAGGTCAGGAGATCGAGACCATCCTGGCCAACATAGTGAAACCCCATCTCTATTAAAAATACAAAAATTAGCTGGGCAAAGCGACACGTGCCTGTAATCTCAGCTACTCAGGAGGCTGAGGCAGGAGAATAGCTTGAACCTGGGAGGCGAAGGTTGCAGTGAGCTGAGATGGCACCACTGTACTCCAGCCTGGCAACAGAGTGAGACTCTGTCTCCAAAAAAAAAGGTCTGAAGCAGGTTCAGGAAGCATTCAAGAAGTATGTATTGTTATTATAGGAGATACCAACTCCATGTGTGTTACTGCCCCTGAAGAGCTTCCAGGGGACAAAATGTGGAGGTGGAAGACAGTGATATGAAAGATCCTGACCCTGTGTAGGCCCAGGCTAATCTGTTTTGTGGCTTAGTTTAAAAAAAAAATAATTTTTTTTTTTTAAGTTTTAAAAACCTAATATTTAAGAAATAGAAAAAAAAGTTATAGAATAAGAATATAAAGAAAAATATTTTTGTGCAGCTGTACAATGTGTTTGTTTTAAACTATATGCTATAAGAGTTAAAAAGTTGCCGGGCGCGGTGGCTCACGCCTGTAATCCCAGCACTTTGGGAGGCCGAGGCGGGTGGATCACGAGGTCAAGAGATCGAGACCATCCTGGTCAACATGGTGAAACCCCGTCTCTACTAAAAATACAAAAAATTAGCTGGGCATGGTGGTGCGTGCCTGTAATCCCAGCTACTCAGGAGGCTGAGGCAGGAGAATTGCCTGAACCCGGGAGGCGGAGGTTGCGGTGAGCCAAGATCGCGCCATTGCACTCCAGCCTGGGTAACAAGAGCGAAACTCCGACTCAAAAAAAAAAAAAAAAAAAAGAGTTAAAAAGTTATAAAAATAAAGTTTATAAAGTAAAAATGTTACAATAAGCTAAAATTAATTTATTATTGAAGAAAGAAAATTATTTTTATAGGCTAGGCACAGTGCCTCATGCCTATAATCCCAACACTTTGGGAGACCAAGGCGGGAAGATCACCTAAGGTAGTTTGAGACCAGCCTGGTCAACATCGTGAAGCTCAGTCTCTACCAAAAATATCAAAATTAACTGGGTGTGGTAGCGGGCACCTGTAATCCCAGTTACCCAGAAGGCTGAGGCAGGAGAATCACTCTGTCCCGAAGCAAAATAAGGGAGCCACCTTGAATAGGTTCACATAGAGGAAGCCTTGCTGCCATTCCCTCCCTAACCAGCTAGAGAACCACCTAACTCACATCCTTCCTAACAGATCCTGAATTTTGTTTTGGAAGGGAATGTGCCTACATTTCCCAGCCTTTCTTGCAGAAAGGGTGATCATGTGATGAAGTTATAATCAATGAAGGGTAAGCACAAGTTATCAAGGGTGGTAACAACTTCCAGAAAACTCCTCTTTAGAAAGGGGAGTGACTCAGCTGGCAGAGTTCTTTAGTCCTACCTCTTCCTCTTTCTTCCTACCTGGAACAAAACAACAGGATCCTGAGCCATAAGATGACCTTAAGGATAGAAGTCACATGCTATGAATAATGGGGGGAAAATGGGAGGAGTCTGAAATAAGGCCTACCCACATCCGGTTAAGTAGGAAGCATGGGAGATGGCAGGGTAGGAAGAGTCATTCAATCAACAAACTGAGTGTCTATGTGTCGAGCACTGCTCCAGGCATTTGGAACATATCACCATCTAAAACAAAGATCCTGGTCAGGTGCAATAGCTCACACCTGTAATCTCAGCACTTTGGGAGGCTGAGATGGGTGGATCACCTGAGGTCAGGAGTTCGAGACCAGCCTGGCCAACATGGTGAAACCCGTTTCTAATAAAAAATACAAAATTAGCCAGGAGTGGTGGCATGTGCCTGTGGTCCCAGCTACTCAGGAGGCTGAGGCAGGAGAATCACTTGAACTTGGGAGGCGGAGGTTGCAGTGAGCCAAGATCTCACCACTGCACTCCAGCCTGAGCAACAGAACAAGACTCTGTCTCGAAAAAAAAGTGAGCTAAGAAATCCACAAACACACAGGTAATTTTACATAGAATTTATAAAAATGTTTTAGGATTCTGACTTTCAACTCCCAACATCAGACATCAGTGTGCTGGAACAAAACATCAGCGTGCTGATGTCTGGTGTTGGGAGTTAAAAGTCAGAATCCTAAAAACAAACTTTAACTCCTGGCCTCAAGTGATCCAGCTGCCTTGGCCTCTCAAAGTGCTAGGATTGGAGGCCACCACGCCCAGCAGCCTCAGGTATTTCTTTATAGCAATGCAAGAACAGACTAATACAGATGCTCAGGCCTATTGGTAAATTCTCTTCATCTACACAAGTAACATGGGAGGCAAATTATCCCAGGAAGGTTGAGGGGGTTCCCAGTTAATTAAACTGAAAAACATTATGTTGAATGCCAAGTTAGCAGCACAATGAGTGTCTATGTGATGGTGATTACCAAAGGACAGTCTGTGGGAGAGCCCCACGGTTGTGTCCAACATCCACGTACTTTAGTAACATATAAAAATAATAGCCACAGAGGCACTAGAGCTCAGGCCTCTCACTGGGCCTTGATGCCTGGACTCTAGGCCTGGGCACTGTCTCCCTTGTTCCCTTGTCTGCCTTGCTCAACTCTCTCGCCTGAAGGACCTGTATGTACTTTCTTGTTTTTTTGAGATGGCGTCTCGCTGTTGCCCACGCTGGAGTGCAATGGCGTGATCTCGGCTCACTGCAACCTCCACCTCCCGGGTTCAAGCAATTCTCCTGCCTCAGCCTCCTGAGTAGCTGGGATTGCAGGTGCTCTCCTGAATCAGCCGCCTGAGTAGCTGAGATTACAGGTGCCCACCACCACGCATGGCTAATGGTTTTGCATTTTTAGTAAAGACGGGGTTTCACTATATTGGCCAAGCTGGTCTCGAACTCCTGACCTCATAATCCACCCACCTCGGCCTCCCAAAGTGCTGGGATTACAGGTGTGAGCCACTGTGCCCCGCCAAGACCTGTTCTTTCTTTAGAGACTAGTCCTGAGAACTGGAAGTCATTTACTCTTTTAAGATCGATTGACTGATTTAGAGATGGGGTGTTTATTTAGAGACAAGGTCTTGCTTTGCTGCCTAGGATGGAGCACAGTGAGCTACACAGACACACTGCAGCATCAAACTCCTGGCCTCAAGTGATCCTCTTGCCTCAACCTCCCAAGTGTAGCTGGGAATACAGGTGTGTGTGCCATGGCACCCAGCCCCCTTGTTCTTTTGAAAGGTAACAGCACACGTCTATTATGACCCCCTATGTGTGGGTCTGGGTTTTGCTTCTCCTAGGCAATCTGATTCCCATGTTCCTCGGAAAGTCTCATAGGATGCACCAAGTATTGGCCACAAAATCCACAGCAACATGCTAACTGCAAATTATTTTCTCTTTGTTAGAGCAGAACTTCAAGTGTTTCTGCAAAATTATATTCTAGCAGTAATGCTTTATCCTCATTCAAAAAATGTATTTGCTGAATGTCTGCTGTGTGTGCCAGGCACCATTTTAGGTGTTGGGAATATGGTGGTGAGCAGGGCAGCCTAAGCTTCAGACCAGGAACAATTGAACAGAACCCTTCAGTAATTTCAGGTATTGGTAAGTGCTATGAAAAAAATAAAAGATAATGAGAGACAGATGTGATGAGGAGCTGCAGAAGTTGATCAGGGAAGCCTCTCTCAGTCTCAACCGAGAGACCTGAAGATACAGGGGATTCAGAGGCAGGGAAGAGACAGTAAGTGCAAAGGCACTGAGGTAGAAATAAACACAGCCTTTCAATAACCAGAAAGGGCACCTGTGCATTGTGTAGCAAAAAAGAGAAAGAGAGATATAAGCTATGAGGACAGGGCATGGTTTTCATTCAGAATGGGGCAGGATGGGGAATTACCAAAGGGTCTTTGAGCAGGGGTCATGATCTAATTCATGCGTTTGAGAGATCACTTTGGCTCCTGTACAGAAAATGGGCTAAAGCAGAAGCACTTTTATGCAGCTCAGAGAGACTTGGTTTTATATCTCCACAGCTATGCTTATTACAGTGTATTTAAATATTAATATTTATTGACTGTTCACAGCTTAACAAGGGTTACAGTAAAAACCTGATCCTTGCCCTAGAGAGTTAAAAAGGCAAAGATGATGACAGATACAGAGGGTGGGCTGGGCGGTTCTGAGCACCTTCCTTAGGACTCTCAACAGCAGGAGTAAGTAGATGGCAACTCCGTGCTAACCCTGAGACAAACACCATTCTTGGTGGCAATTTTTTCTTTTGTGCTTTCCCTGAATAAGTGAATACCAAACAACATTCCAGCAACAACACTTGGTCTGTTCTCATGTATGTCAAGCAGTCTGGAAAATTAAAAGGAATAAAACCCGCTCAAATATGTGCACTCCAGTAGGGAACACACTAGCAACAGAAATCACTATCAGTAATGTGGCTGAAGAAGAGATGAGGTCAATTATGAAGACAGGTCAGATACATTGTGTAGATAACAACCTGCTTGAGTGAAGAAGCATTTGACAGAATCACTTGGGAAAGGAAATTCCTAAGAAAGTAACAATTTTGGATCTGGTTCCCACAAACTGCTCAGGGAGAGATATGAACGGTCAGAAGTATCATCTTATAACAACTCAATCCAGTATTTCACTTCATTTAGTTTAAGAATATAATCAGGTGTGGGATAGTCTCTCACTTAAAAACCGAACAAAAACCAGTGATACACATGGTCACAAGAAGAAGAAAACAAAGCTATCTGTCCATCTGTCTATCCACCTGCTACCTTCTTGCTCCTTCCACAGATATCTGTGAGTGGCTACTAACTGCCAGGCACTGGGCAAGGCATGGAGATCCAGTGTAGACATGAGAATCAAAGCCTTTGTGCTCCTGTGGACAGACACTGAGTGACTAATCACCCAATCAATTAACTACTGGGAGCAAAGTGTGCCAACCTAAACCTGCTGCACTGAGGCTAACATGAAGAAGTAGTAGCTAAATACATCCCAGCACTATTTAGAGAAAACAGCACAGCTCACAACAGGACACTTGATATCATGCCTTGCCGGTTATGTTTCCTAAGAGAAAAGCAATGGGAAAGGCCCAGAAAGAGACAAGCTGTTATCAGAGGTTCCCTTCATATGTTATGACATATGCCTCTTCTGCCCCTCACACAGGCTGATTCCCTCTCACACTTGGAAAAAGACCGTATCAGCCCGTACCTGACAGCGATGAGCCTCCTTCTCTGGGCACGCCTCCATTTTCTGTGCTTACTTTTCCAGAATCACTCCTGGCATGTTCACCATTGGTTAAATCTGTTTTCTCGGGAGTTGTTGGTTTGCTTTGTGCCTGGCTGTGCTTCAAATGAACGAACTTTGGGGATACTGCTGCAGCTTGGATCACAGGGGACTGAGGTTTCGACTGGATTGGTTTTTCCAGTTCTCTGGCCTCCTGCAACTAAAAGGCAACAAAAAAGGGATACAATTTAAATAGTCTCAGCATTTTGGTAAGGAATAAAAATTATGCCAGCCTATTGCTTAAAAAATTTCCTGGGCTGGGTGCAGTGGCTAACACCTGTAATTCCAGCACTTTGGGAAGCTCAGGCAACAGGAATGCTTGAGCCCAGGAGTTTGAGACCAGCCTGGGCAACATGGTGAAACTCTCAGAAAACAAAAAAACTTAGCTGGGTGTGGTGGCACATGCTTGTAGTCCCAGCTACTTGGGAGGTTGAGGTGAGAAGATTACTTGAGCTGGGGGGGTCAAGCCTGCAGTGAGCCATGATCATGCCACTGCACTCCAGCCTGGGCAACAGAACAAGACTCTCCCCCAACTACCAAAAAAAAAAAACAACAAACCTTCCAGCCACAAGGATAACATACTTAAAAGGAAATAAATTCCTTTGACAAACTCCAAAAAAATTCTGAACACAAATTTCAAAACCTATGTTAGTTTCTCTGATTTTTAAAGCAAGAACAAAAGTACAGCATAGAGAATGCACAGGAAGAAGGGGTAACTTTAAAATGCTAGTGAACCTTCACAGGCACCAAGGTTACACATGAAAGAGTCAGAGCAATGATGTATTGCCCCCAGCACATAAGAGCTGCCACTCACCACTTGGTTTTCCATGCGGGTGAAAATGACGTTGAGCATCTGAGTAAGGGTAGCCTTGGCAGTGGTTTGATTGATGAGATTTTTGCTGGCCAAATAGATATTGTAACATGTCCTCACTGTCTGAAGGATAGTACCCTCATGAATTTCAATGTGTGGGGACGTCACTGCTGTCAGAAGAGCCTAAAACAGAAATCCGCGACCTTCACCATCGGGAACGCACGTCACCATCCTGCCCTCCCATGGCCACAATTTTCTAGAGGGTCTGGTTTTTTCTTTTCTGTTTTTTTTGTTTTTTTTTTTTAAATAAATTTTAAGATGGCTCTGCACATTAAACTGGATGATTATTATCAAGAGCCAACTTCTATGGCTGTTAGTTTAAAAACAATGCACAGTTCTATGAAATCCAAATTATTTGAAACAATTAAATTGTGTTGAAGCATACTGCCTCACTTTCTAAAAAGCCAAACTTCTGGCCAGGCAGGGTAGCTCCCTTGAGGTCAGGGGTTTAAGATAAACCTGGCCAACATGGTGAAACCCTATCTCTTTTAAAAATACATAAATAATCCAGGAGTGGTGGTGCCTGCCTGTAGTCCCAGCTACTCAAAAGGCTGAGGAACAAGAATTGCTTGAACCCGGCAGGCAGAGGTTGCAGTGAGCCGAGATTGCACCACTGCACTCCAGCCTGGATGACAGAGCAAGACTATATCTCAAAAAAGCAAAAACAAAAACAAGTCAAACTTCTGAATGTTAATACTGACTGAAAAACCTACAACGAATAACACAGACAATTATCTCAGGACATATAACACTTCAATGTGATCTCACCCAGATTTTTCAGAAAATACATGTTTCGATGGTGACTGGTTTCCCAATTTCCTGGTGGTTTTTCAAGAAAGCTTTAAGAAAGGTTTATTTAGCATGAAACCCTCTCCTCATAATGTTAATAGTTTCAGGACTTAAGATTTGTAACCTTGGCTACACCCATCCTGATCCTGTTCTCAAACAGGCAGAAGGTACCACCCTGTGCCAAACCATTCTTGGCAGCAGAAATCGAACAGGGAAGTAGGACAGGGGCAAGTCAAAGATAAGAATATCAACAAAGACCCGCTGAGAAATCCAGACTAGGAATCCAGGGTTAACTAGAGGATTTCAAGATGATTTAATTCACAAGCAAATGGTTTACTTTGAAAACATACCTGGTTCCATTTCTCTTGTCTCAGTTCATGCTAATAAATTCTCACACCTAACAAGAGATCTAAATGATGCTGAAATCTTTCTGTTCCAGCTCAGCACCGCCTGAGACAACTAACACATGGTAAATTAGAAATCCAGATTTCCACGGGGACTTGCTTTCTAATTTAAAAACCAGACAGGCAAACACATAGGTATACCTTAATTATTTGTAACTGAACCCCTTCATCGGTCTGAGGGCCCTGAAAACAATTGCAAATGGTTTCAACAATTCTGTCGATCAGCCGCTTCCCAGGTGCTCCACTGTCAGGGGCGTTGCCAGTGATGTGCCCATATGCGATGAGTTTCTAAACAGAGAAAGAACAGAGATTACAAATTTCTGCTTGGCCAGGACTGAGGCCTTCCGTGGCAGCCCAAGACAGCAAAAGACAGGCACTTCCAGTTCCTACAGAGTCCTCTGCGGTCCCCAGGAGCCAGGCAGGCATAACCACCATAACCATTCTGTGACTGCAACCTTCTTCCTGTCTCCTGACAGCAAAAGATGCCTGTAATGGTGATATAGTAGCCGACAAAAAATGCAAGGTATAGGGCACTCCCTAGTACGCATCTCTGCAAAGCTGAGGACTTACAAGCTATACATACTCATGACAGAGAGATCAGTGGTTGTCTAGAGTTGTGGGTCAGGGTAGGGAGACATAGGGAGTGATTGTTAATTACAACACAAAAAGAATCTAGTTAGGTTGTGGTAATGGTTGCACAACTCTGTCAATAAACTAAAAATCACTAAAGTGTGTGTGTGTGTGTGTGTGTGTGTGTGTGTGTGTGTGTGTGTGTGTGTGTTGAGACAGGGTCTCACTCTGTCACCCAGAGGCTGGAATGAAGTGGTACAGTCATGGTTCACTCAAGCCTCAACCTCCCAGGCTCAAGCAATCCTCCTACCTCAGCTTCTTGAGTAGCTGGGACCACAGGCACATGCCACCATGCTAGGTTAATTTTTCTTTATTCTTTGTAGAGACAGGGTCCTCCTATGTTGCTCAGGCTGGTCCCAAACTCTTGGGATCAAGTGATTCTCCTACCTGTAATCCCAAAGTATTGGGATTACAGATGTGAGCCACTGCGCCTGGCTTGAATTATACTTTTTTTTTTTTTTTTTGAGGTGGAGTCTTGGTTTGTTGCCAGGCTGGAGTGCAGTCTTGGCGCAATCTCGGCTCACTCCAACTTCTGCCTCCTGGGTTCAAGCAATTCTTCCGCCGCAGCCTCCCGAGTAGCTGGGACCACAGGCACGTGCCACCACACCTGACTAATTTTTGTATTTTTAGTAGAGACGGGGTTTCACCATGTTGGCCAGGATGGTCTCGATCTTCTGACCTCATGATCCGCCCATCTCAGCCTCCCAAAGTGCTAGGATTACAGGTGTGAGCCACCATACCTAGCAGAATTAAACTTTAAATGAATTGAATTGTATGCATGTTAATTTTATCTCAAAAAGCTGTTAAAATTATATATATATATATATATATATATATATATATATACATGAATATGTATTTTCTTTCAATGGAAAGATACCCAAGAAACTAAGAACATGGTTTGCTTGAGGGAGGAGAACTAAGCAGCTGTGAGCTGCGGTGGAACTAAGACACTCTGTAGTACATCTTTTCATTTATTTTCAATGTTGAATTGTGTCAGTGTATTTTCTATTCCAAAAATCAAAGTTAAAACTTGATCTGCATAAAAATAACTGCATTTCACACTTGTATCAGGAAATAGTGTGTGCCACCCACAAGCAGCTGCTTGGGCCCTGCCCTCTCTGAGAGGTTATAGATTGGTCTGTGCCACCTCACCCATGACCGGGATATCAGCATGGAGGGCAAAGCTGGAAGGAACCTCAAACATCAGCAGCAGGATGATTTCTATGCCTGGCTGGGAAACAAAATCACCCAAGGGAGCTCACTAAAAACACAGGTTCCTGGACCTCAACCCAGACCTACTGAAGCAGAACTTCTGTGTGGAGCCCAGGAATCAGTGTTTTTCTCCAAGCTATCCAGGTTATATTGATGGTTGATCAGATAAAAGAATCAGTCATCTGGCACGTACACATGTGAACTCTATGGCATTCTCTGCCTCCAGGGACTTGGTGAAGACTCCTACAACTGCTGTTCTTTCTCCGTTTTAGCTTCTAGCTGGTTACATTCTTGCTTCTGCCCACACCAGGTGGACTCAGGTTCTTGGGTTATCTATAGAGCAGACACCACTGCAGGAGGAAGAGTGGCCACTATACAGAAATCTAATGCTGTTTCTCAATGGCTTTTCCCCTTCCTTAGCTATTGAAGTGTCGCCACTCAATAAGCAGAAAGAAAAACAGATTGAGAAAGCGGCTGAGAGTAGAAATGCAATACTACCGCATGGAATGACTGAAGGAGCAGGAGAGAGGCCTGCGCACACTCTGCTGCTCGAGTCCAACCCCTAAATCTCCAGGTAGGATGTGTGGCCTGTGAAGGCAAGTCCACGTGCCCTTTACCTCACCCGCAGGCTTCTTAGGAGGGCAGGGCTGTCTACCTGGAAAATGAGCTGTGGTTTTGACATTGCTTGCTCTTACATCTAATGGACTCAAGTCTGTTTTGTGCATTGGATTGCAAGCGGGATGGTCTAGGAACTCCTCAAATGTGAATGCTGAAAAGTAGGCTCCATAAAATCCACAAAGCAAGCTTGTCTTTCATACTTTAACTCAAGTATGAAAAGGACAGAAAGCATCCTGTCCTCTACAGACTCCTTACGGGGCACATTACCCTTCAAATCAGGAAAGGTTTTAAGTGTGACCTTCCCCCTCATCTGTGCAGTGAGATAAGGCCGGGAGAAAGCAGAGTTCCTGTATCCTGTGGATCTTTCTGGTTCTGCTTTCTCATCCTTCTCGGTGACAGTCCCCATTCTGGGCACTGGGGGTAATTGTGTAAGTATTATTTTTCTCAGAGTCTATATTCTCCAGGGAGGCGCACCAAAGCTCAAAGTCCTAACTGGGACCTACAGGCTGTGTGTGATTTGTAGACACTGCCCCCATATCCCACTATCCCCCAGGTAGATGTCCCCACCTTGTTCCTTGCTGATGTAATGAGGGGTGGAAAGAGAGACAGTGAGGCAGGGCTCTGGGCAGCTGGTCCACTGACACATGTGCTGGGGTTTGCACAGGGACAATTCTCGCATGGAAGGGAAGATGATGGCAATATAATACACTATAACAGGACTTTATAGGACTAACTGCACAAAGGAAAATGCTATGTGGTTGGTTTCTTGGCATAGAATAGGACATACTTAGTAATGAACAGAAGTTGGAGCAAGTGAGCTGTATTACAAGTTATCCCACCCACACGAATGAATATATTTTGTACAAATTAAGTCTTCTACCTCACTGGTCTCCATTCTGAAGTCAGGTCTATTTATTTTGCCTCAGTGATAGGAATCCAAAGAGTCACCTCTGACCAGAGAAACTGAGGCATGTCTCCAAGGAGCCTTGTACAGAGATGTGCACTGGAACCTTTTGTGTGAATGCGTCTATACAGGGGAGCGATAGGTGAAATGGTGGCATGACACATCATATACCAGTTAAAAGAAATGCACTAGATGTACATGGAGCAATAGAGCTAGAGCTTAATAATGGTGTTGAATGTAAAAAGCTGTAGAGAATCTTGTACAAGTGAATCATTTATTTAAAAAAAAAAAAAAAAAAAAAGAAAGAATATTATATACCTAAACAGGCAATTGGATTTGAGGCTGGTGGCCCAAGGAACTTCCTTTCATCTATAAAGTTCAAAAACTTTTTAACAGAGAATGTAGTCATGTACAACTCATATAATTAAAAATTGACTTTTCAATGTACATTAAAAAAAATCTACAAATTTTCTGGAAGAGCTGAAAGATCATGTTTGTGGTATAAACAGGGCAGCTTAGATTAGTGGTTTCCTACAGCCTTATAGATATACTTTAATAACAGTAACACATATAAATAGTTTTTCTTTTTTTTTTTTTTTTTTTTGTAGAAATGAGGTCTCCCTATGTTGCTCAAGCTGGTCTTGAACTCCTGGGCTCAAGTAATCCTTCCACCTTGGCAACCCAAAGCACTGGGATTATAGGTGTGAACCATCATGCCCAACCCATAACTTTATTTTTCGGAGGCAGAGTCTTGCTCTGTCACCCAGGCTAGAGTGCAGTGGCACAATCCTGGCTCACTACAACCTCCACCTCCTGGGTTCAAGTGATTCTCCTGCCTCAGCTTCCCGAGTAGCTGGGATTATAGGTGCGTGCTACCACACCTGGCTAATTTTTTGTATTTTTAGCAGAGATGGGGTCTCACCAAGTTGCCCAGGCTGCTCTTGAACTCCTGAGTTCAGGCAATCCGCCTGTCTTGGCCTCCCAAAGTGCTAGGATTACATACGTGAGCTACCACACCCAGACTCAACCTACAATTTTAAATTAAAGCAATATGAATATATTGGGACAACATGGTCAAAAATGTTTTTATTTTTCACTTGAGGCCAGGAGTTAAAGCCCAGCCTGGACAACAAAGCAAGACCCTGGTCTCAACAAAAAGTAAAAAAAATAATTAGCTGGGTGTGGAGGCGTACTCCTGCAGTCCCAGCTACTTGTGAGGCTGAGGTAGGAGGACTGCGTAACTCCAGGAGTTTGAGGCTGCAGTGAACTATGATCAAGCCACCACACTCTAGCCTGGGCGACAGAGTGAGACCCTGTCTCTAAAAAAAAGAAAGAAAACTGGCTGGGCACAGCGGTTCATGCCTGTAATCCTGTAATCCCAACACTTTGGGAAGCTGAGGTGGGCTTAAGCTCAGGAGTTTAGGACCAGCCTGGACAACATGGCAAAACCCTGTCTTAATAAGAAATAGAAAAATTAACCTGTGGTCCCAGCTACTTGGGAGGCTGGGGTGGAAGGATCACCTGAGCCTGGGGAAGTCGAGGTTATACTGAGCCTGATCATGCCACTGCATTCCAGGCCTGGGTGACAGAGTGAGATGTGAGAACCTGTCTCAAAAAATATATATATATATATTATTGATATGTGACCAAAAAAACTTGGAGACCACTTACTACCTTAGATAAGACTGACCCTAACCCTCCTTATACTGAGCCCTGGTTGTGGGGAAGTGTGTAGCAGACCAACTGCTGCAGGAAGGGAAGACAGGGAATCTTTATCACTTGGTAGAAGCAAGCCGCAGGGGAAGTCTCTAGGCTTCTCCCAGTGGGGAGGGAACTTGAGCTAACTGTGCCTATGGTAAATCAATCCCAAAGCACCTTTGCCACTCCTAACGCTGTGCCAAGCTCAAAGAATGGCAAGGTACAGCATGGACATGTCTGCAGCTGGTTTCGATTCTGCCCAAACCAAACTTTACCCCCAGATGCTGGCCTTCCACCTCTAAGACAGAGGTTACCTCACCCACACTGGGAAAAGCCAGTCAAACAGGCTTGGCAAGGGCAGCCACCAAGGGAAAGTACTTTTTTTTCCATTCAGCAGTCCAGGGAGCACCCAGCCACTTTCTCATGTCATAAAAAAGATGACACATTTTACATACTAAACAAAGAAATCCTACTGTACCTATTACATCTCAGAGAACCTGTTACATCTCAGAGAACCTATTACGTCTCAGAGAACTTCCATTCCTTTGTGTGTGTATGTGTGTGGTTTTTTCTTTTTTTTTAAGAGACAGGGTCTTGCTTTGTCACTCAGGCTGGAGTTAGGTGTCACCATCATGGGTCACTGCAGCCTCAACCTCGTGGGCCCAAGCAATCCTATCTCTGCCTTCTGAGTGACTGGGACTAAAGGTGTGCACCAATACGTCCAGCTAACTTTTTATTTTTACTTTTTGTAGAGATGAGGGTCTCACTGTGTTGCCCAGGCTAGTCTCAAACATCTGGCCTCAAGCGATCTTCCTGCCTCAAAGTGCTGGGGTTATAGGAGTATGCTACTGCACCAAGCCAGAACTTTCATTCTAAAAAGAGAGAGAACCATACCCCGTAAGACTCAAGATTCACAGTGGGCTGAAGGAAAGCAGGGTGTCAGTGTTTCCCTTTGAAATCATACTCAGATACAAAGAGTTCCAGAAACAAACTATTTGTGTTATTAAAGAGGCCAGAACCACACAGTGACAGTTAAGAGCAGGGGCCAGTTAAGAGCAGCAACCTTTTTCGATAAAGGGTCATATACTAAATCTTTAGGCTCTGTGGGTTATTTGGTCTCCATTACAGCTACTCAGGTAGGTCACAGAAGCAGGAAGGCAGTCACAGATAATTCATAAACGAATGGGCATGGCTGCTGCTATGGACTGAGAGTTTGTGTCCCCCTAAAATTCGTATGTTGAAGCTTTAACCCTGCAATGTGATGGTATTAGGAGGTTGGGCCTTTGGGAAATAATCAGGCTTAGATGCAGTCATAAGGGTAGGGTCCTCATGACAGGATTAGTGCCCTATAAGAAGAAACCAGAGACCTAGCTCTCTCTCCATGACACGTGAGAACACAGCTGTTTGCAGCCAGGGAGAGGGTACCCTCACCAGGAACTAAATCAGCCAGTACCTTGACCTTATAGTCCCCAGCTTTCAAAACTGTAAGAAATAAATGTCTGTTGTTGAAGACTGCCAGTCTATGATATTCTGTTCAGCAGACCAAGCAGACTAAAACAGCTGTGTTCCATTAAAACTTTATTCGCAAAAGCAGATGATAGGTCAGATTTGGCTCATGGGCCTAAGCTGATGACCCCTGGTTAAGAACGCAGACACTGAGTCAAGAAGTCCTAGAAACCTGGCTGGGCACAGTGGCTCATGTTTGTAATCCCAAAACTTTGGAAGGCCTAGGTGGGAGGATCACTTGCGCTCAGGAGTTCGAGACCAGCCTGGGCAACTTGGTGGCTCTACAAAAAATACAAAAAGGAAATTATCTGGGTGTGGTGGTGCATGCCTGTGGTCCCAGCTACTTGGGAAGCTCAGGTGGGAGAATTACTTGAGCCCAGGGACAATCACTTGACGTCGCAGTGAGCCACAATCTTGCCATTGCACTCCAGCCTACCTTGGACTGGGCAGGTCACGTCATTCCCTAAGCCTTGGTTTCCTTGATTCTAAAACGAGGACAAGAGTTAAGTACCTTAGAGGGCTGTCAAGGGGACTACACACGGTACGGTGGATGAAGCATGCAGGGCCTACCACAGGCTAAGAGGTCACTGCACGTCAGCCACGGTTCTCAGTGCGTCATTAATTACCAGCACTCCTTTCAAAACAAAACCGTAACATGGAGAGAGAACAACTAAAATTCAACTTCTGCCAAATTTCCTCATAACACATTCACAGCAAAAAATATTTTAGGACAGAAGTAGGACTGAAGCCTGCCATTTAACAATTCTTGGCTCACTGTATGTCTCACAAACAACAATCTACAGAATTACATCGAATAACAAAATAGTTTTGCATTTGGAAGAGTTGCTTCTGTGAAGAAACTCTCATCAATTCTCAAGTACACATAACAAAGAAGAGAGATTAACAGAGTAAATATTAGACCAGAGACACCAAAAATGTGGCATGCCCACTGCCACTTTGCAGTCCTGTGCCTTGGTAGATAAAACCACTCAAGAGCACTCTTTCTTGAGAAAGCCAGATGAGCCTTCAGACATCTCTTTTACAAAGCTCTCTAAGTAATCAGGATACAGAATCTAGTCACCATTCCTGTCCTAGAAAGTACTGGCAAGCTGTGGATCACTTCAACATATTTTTAAAATTTATTAAACTTTCTTCATTGATGTGGACTGCCCACTGAGGTCAAGAATAAACATTCTTTGAGCCAGGTATGGTGGCTCATGCCTGTAATCCCAGCTACTTGGGAGGCTGGGGCAGGAGGATTGTTTGAGCCTGGGAGTTAGAGGCTATAGTGAGCTATGATCAAGGCACTGCACTACAGCCTGGGCAACAGAGTGAGACCCTGACTCGAAATAAACAAAAAAGAAAATAAATGTTCTTTGAGGTAATCAGAAACCTAAGGAGCACATCTTGAGCAAAAGTACAAGAATGGTGGGCCGGGAATTAAGAAACCCAAGTTATAGTCCTGTTTCTCCTACTACCTGCATATTACTGGACAAGTCACCTTAACTTCTCTACTCTTGCTTCTTCCTCAGTAAAACGTAATTTAAAACAAAGTTACTTGGGGCTCTAAATACAGCCAGTCCTCATCATTTGCAGCTATATTTGCAAATGCACCTACTCACTAAAGTTTATTTATAAGCCCAAATCAATACTTCCGGGACTTTTTTGGTCATTTGTAGACATGTACAGAACAGTAAAAAATGTGAAATCACTTACGTTCATGTCCCTAGCTGAGGTCAAACAAGGCAACACTATGCCTCCTTGTTTCACTCTCCTATTGCCAACAAGTGTCATTTTAGTGGTGTGCTTAGTGCTGTGTTTTTTGCATTTTGGTCCTTTTGTTGGTGATTTTGCTATTTACAATGGCTCCCAAGTGTGTGCTGATGTGCTTTCCCATGTTCCTAACAGCAAGAGGGTAGTGATGTGCTTCACAGAGAAATTATGTGTGTCAGAAAAGCTTTGTTCAGGCATGCGTCATGGCACTGTGGGCCCTGAGTTCAATGTTAATGCATCAACAAAAGATATTAGGTAGTCTCTTTAAACCGAAACACATGAAGGCTAAAGGCTTACAGGAACCTAACCCTGTAGTTCTTCTAGGAACAAAGATTCAATGTTTGCCAATTTACTATGGGAAGTGACTTTACAGCACATAACTACCAAAAACAACAGATTCGACTGCCTCTATTTCTCTACTTGAAAGGAATTTTCATGCCATTAAGAAAGAGGCTTTCAGCCTGACCAAAATGGTGAAACCCCATCTCTACTAAAAATACAAAGAATTAGCTGGGTGTGGTGGCAGGCGCCTATAATCCCAGCTACTCAGGAGGCTGAGGCAGGAGAATCCCTTGAGCCCAGGAGGCAGACGTTGCAGTGTGATGAGGTTGTACCACCGCACTCTAGCCTGGGCAACAGGAGTGAAACTTTGTCTCCAAAAAAAAAAAGAGAGAGAGAGAGAAAGAGGCTGACCATGTGCAGTGGCTCATGCCCATTATCCCAGCACTTTGGAAACCAAGGTGGTAGGACTGCTTGAGGCCACGGGTTTAAGACCAGCCTGGGCAATACAGTGAGACTGCATCTCTACAAAATAAATAAAAGAAAGAGGCTGTATAAAAATGCCTATGTGTCCATGTGTGTCAGATATTCCAATCAATGCTAAAGGTTTCATTTAGAAAAAAAAAAACATAAGACACGAACGAATAAGATATTTCTAGGGGAAACAAATTCTGGTTTTAGGTAAAGAGTTCACACCTTTCTCTTTTCCCACCCTCATGAGATGTCCAAAAGGAATACGTTAAACTGTTCCTTTCTGCATCGCCTCTGAGAGCACTGAGTGCCAGGGCGGTCTGCAGCATAGCTCTGTGTAAGGACCGACTGTGGCCTGGAGAGAACCCCCTTGACACCATGAAGTTTAAACATGGTACCTGCAAGCAGTCGAGGGATGTGCTGACCACCCGTGGGGACTTGGACTGGCAGGCTAGCTCGAATGGAAGAAAATACTTGTCGGCTTCAATGAAGTTTGCCTTTGGTGGTGCAGTAGTGCCAAGCCTAGGAGAAAAGCAAGAGAGGGGCAGGAGGAGAAATGGGGAAAAAAAAAAAAAAAAAAAAAAAAGCTTGCTTTTTCTACACCTTACTCTAACTTCCCATTCCACCTGCAATCATTTAATTAAAAGTGCCTGCAAACTATATCCTGGGGCTAGGCATTAGAAGGTGAACACTTGCATTAGGAAAACTACCACTAAAGTCCCACGTAGAGAGCAAGTTCTCTGACTGGCATGCTGAATTAATGACATCCTGGGCTGAATCTTGGTGGCAGCCACGCCAGAGCTATATTTCTGAAATGTGACTAACTGGCTTCCTTACTATGAAGATCAGGAGTAGCCACTCAGGGAGCAGGCTGTCCTCATGCCTAAGGAGGCATGTCATACAACAGACAAGGGCTTTGCCTCTTCTGTCAAGAAAATATACAACAGCGTTACCTTGATCTTGATCCTTCCCTTAAAGGACACAAGTACTGAGGCAGCAGCCTGTTAACCTTGCATCAGTTCAAATATACAGAGTTGTGCCGTGTGACTAGCACCGTGCTTGCAGAGTTTGTGCTACCCCTGAGGATTAGAAATATGACAAAACAAGCAGAGAAAGGGGTTCCCCTGGCTGCTACCTACTCCCTTCGTGCCACACCTCAGCAAGGAGAAAGTGCTATAGCTTACCTCTGCTTTTCTATTTCTGCTTTAATTTCATCTGGTAAGGAAGGAAGAAAAAGCACATTAGGAAAATGCAACATTAATTCAAAGGAAAACTTTACTAAAAGATATTTGGAGACCACTGAAAAGAATGTTAATGAGATGTTTAAATATAGAAATGCTGATATGAAGTGAAAGAATTAATTGTAACAGCAATAATAACAGTTAACGCTTCCATGGAGTGACTGGCTAGAGGCATTACTGTGTGTGTTTTAGATCATTTAGCCCTCACAGTGATCCTATGAGGTCCATACTATTATTACATCCATCTCATTTAGAGCAGGGTTTCTCAGCCTTGGCACCACTGCCATTTGGGGATGAAGAATTCTTTGTTACGAGGCTGCCCTGCGCACTCTAGGATGTTTAGTAGCATCCCTGCTCTCCACCCATTGGATACCAGGAGCACTCCTGACCCCCCTGCCATCCTGAAAACTAAAAACGTCTCTAGACATTGCCAAGTGTGCCCTAAGCAAAACCGCTCCTGATGAGAAGCAATGATTTTGATGAGGAAATCGAGGCATAGGAAGTTTAGGTAACTTGGCTACTGTTGCATATCAAGAACTGGGGAGCCAGAGTTTAACCGAAGCTTTCTGGCTCTACAGCCCATGTTCTTACTTGTTTCCTGTCTGCAGAAGGCATGTTTATGAGAGTTAGCTGACACAATACCATGGTAATATCATGACATCTCAACTGTGTGCAAATGTGCATAGAAGACTGGAAACTAATACCACAAAGTGTTGAAAGCAATAAAATACTGAAAGTTGTCTAAGTAGCGGGATGATGAATTTTTTCTTTTTTTACATTTTCTATTTGATAAGCATATGTACTTTTTCTTAATCAGCACTTTTTAAAACAATTATAAAATATATATAACCTAAAATTTACCATCTTAACCATTTTTAAGTTTACAGTTGAATGGCATTAAGTACATTTACATTGTGCTAAGGCACATGTAATTTTTAAGAATTAAAATTAATTTTAAAATCTTTATCATGGATGTAACAACTACACTGGCAGGGTTGTAGGAATCAAGTGTCATTTTTCAGAAATCACAATCTCCGCGATAGTCTTATTTCCAGGAAAAAGGTTTTGTGCCATTGCAACAACCAAGCATCCTGTCTAAACACACAGAATTCTCCCACATCCACTCAGTTGAATGTACTTCTACATATTAGACCCATAAGCCCACGTATCATCAAATCAGGCATGGGAAGGAGGTGTGTCCTCAATACCATGTATCCAGATCATCTCCAAAAGGCTAGCCTCCTTTACACAATCTCTAGAGCGCCAGTAGTGTGGATATGGCACTAGTTATCCTAGCAACCCCAGGACATAGTACTGAAGGTTGCAAATTTCCTATTCTTAGGTAACTCCACACACTTAAACTTGAAGGTGTGAAAACCAAGTAAGTTGACTCTCTGGAAGTAACACTTTCTAACCTTCAAGCCCAACTTTGTATATCTCATTACACACATGAGAAAACAGAAGAGAAATGCCCAAATGACTAATAGCAACCGTTTTGCTCATGGACTGTAAGGGTTGTGACACACAGGGTCAGAGAGCTGTGTGGTGTGGATCTTGCTCCTTAGGGATAAGAATTCACTAAGGAAATGCTCCAGCTACCACCAGCAGAGGCTCAGGAAGCTGTGGGGACCCAGCCCGTGAGGCTGGCGGCCCAGCTATCGGCTTTTAGAAACCTGTATCTATAATATCAAGGCTCTGCTTGGGTGATAAGATCTGTCACTCTGTGACATGGCAGAGGGCCGCTGCTGCCCAAACTCAAATGTAAGTTTTCCTTCCAATCGCAGTTACCTCGTTAGAGTGAAGTTTAAGTGCTAAACCTAAACTTCACTAGAGTTGGTGCTGGCCTGGGAGCTCTAAAACAATCTGTTTTGAAATACCACTACAGAGATCACAATCTCAAAGATAGTCTTAATCTGAGACTGGGCGCGGTGGCTCACGCCTGTAATCCCAGCACTTTGGGAGGCCAAGGCGGGTGGATCACCTGAGTCAGGAGTTTGAGATCAGCCTGGCCAACAGAGTGAAACCTTGTCTTTACCAAAAAATACAAAAATTAGCCGGGCATGGTGGCCTGTGCCTGTAGTCCCAGCTACTCGAAAGGCTGAGGCAGGAAATCGCTTGAACCCAGGAGGCAGTAATTGCAGTGAGCTGAGATGGTGCCACTGTACTCCAGCCTGGGCAACACAGTGAGACTATCTCAAAAAAAGAAAAACATAAACCAAATACAAAGGTTACACTAATTACAAAGGGCTACAGAAGCCAGGCAGGAAATGTCAAGAAAAAACACAGTGGGTCTAAGATCAAAAAAAGGCAGGACCCCGTTTCCACCCAGTACAGGAAGGGGTGCAGTAGCTCCTTAGCTCCAGCTGACGGGAATCTTTAGAGGCCCTGAGCCCACAGGTGCTAGTTGTTCTGATTTTTCCAGAGGTCAAAATCCAGATTTTAGGTGAAAGCTCTGACTGTAATTCAAAACAATTTCAATTGTTTTAAAAATTATGTTAAATAGAAATAATAAGATATTGTGTTCGATAGATCAGTAAGATGACTACAGTTAACATTAACTGACTGTACATTTCAAAACAGCCAGGAAAGAATAGTTCAAATGTTCCTAATGCAAAGAAAAAATAAATATTTAAGGTGATGGATATCTCAGTTACCCTGACTTGACTATATGAATGCATCCAATTACCAATGCACCACAAAAATATGTGCAGCTATATGAACCAATAAAAAACAAATTTAAAAAATACTATGGCTCAAAGAAGGCTGGTTTGCAGGCTGCCTAGCCCTGAGGCTACAAGTTTGCCAATTTTGCTTTAAGGGATGGAGAAGAGCTGAGGAGAGAGTGCTTCAGTGGCTGTAGAAAAGTAGCTGCAGAGGATAAATGTGGCTTCTAAGGACTGTGACCAGTGCTATGAGGACAAAACATCCATTTCCTATAAGCTAAATCTTTGCCCAGCCAAAGAACAAAGAACTAAGGAGCCAGAGGACTTTAGTTGGAGGCCAAACCCACTATAAATTTTATAGATGAAAAATCAAGATCCACAAAGGTTACAAGTACTAGAGATGAGACTTAAACACAGAAAATCAGGCTCCAGAGTCTGTGTTCTCTTGGGTACCCTGACTCTCAAATAAGCATATGAAATTACTCTGTAAACTATAAATGCAGAACAGTTTAAATGTGTGGTTTTCCTAGCACTGATACAACCATGAATGCTGCAGCCATGGTTCAAAACACTGGTGTTTTCACTACACCGTGAACCCCATTCAGCTGGGAAGCTAGTTTACACGCCTTCTGAAATCTCCCAAACCCTTTTTCTGGCCTGGCGTGACCATAGCAAAGGTAAAACCCGGTTTTGGAATAGGAATGAGTAAGGGGTAACAGGACTGGCAGCGGCAGCAGTGTAGGGCACAGGGACGGAAGAGAGCAGCCTTCTCCTGTGACCAGGAAAGAGTTGCTACCCGGAAAAGTAACTGCAGAAACCCAAGAAATTCCAGTTGCAAATCCTATGTTCACAGATTTTTTTCAGTTTTCTAAATTTACCCTTACGTATTCCCACAAGAATTAGGAATTGCTGCACTTCCTAAACTACTCTTTGTTGAGGAAAAATAAATCTTCAGGCTGGTCCCAGTGGCTCACACCTGTAATCCCAGCACTTTGGGAGGCTGAGGAGGGCAGATTACTTCGAGCTCAGGAGCTCAGATCACCCTGAGCTAGGTAAAAAGAGCTAGGCTTCATCTTAAAAAAAAAAATCTTGAAAAGTCTTCTCCACTAGGCCCAGTAGGGGCCCAGGTGATAACAACATCTTTGTAAGGCATGGGAGGAACCCCATGGAAGGGCTGGGAGAGGGTGGCCTGCTTCTACTTTTCTTCAGACAAATCACTCTGGCTGCTGTGAGGATAAAGAGGAAGGTGGCCAGGACAGAAGGGAAACCTATCAGGAGGTTACTGCTAATAATCCAGGCTAGCAGCAATGGGGGCTTGGAGCAGCACAGAGCCTGCGCAGGTGGAGAGAAGGCACAGTCTGAAGCACACCAGCACCTTTTTGTTTAGTTTTGTTTTTGTTTTTGAGACAGGGTCTCACCCTTTCACCCAGGCTGGAAATGCTCAAATAAAGGTAGTTTCATATGGCCCAACCTAAAAGTTGGGTTCTTTATATATTTGGATAACGCAATCTTTTTTTTTTCCCCATGAAAAGAGGGAATAACAACCCCATCAAAAAGTGGGCAAAGGATATGAACAGACATTTCTCAAAAGAAAACATTTATGTGGCCAACAAATATATGAAAAAAGCTCATCATCATTGATCATTAGAGAAATGCAAATCAAAACCATGATGAGATACCATCTCATACCAGTTAGAATGGCAATCATTAAAAAGCGAGGAACCAACAGATGCTGGAGAGGATGTGGAGAAATATGAACACTTTTACACTGTTGGCGGGAGTGTAAATTAGTTCAACCATAATGGAAGACAGTGTGGCAATTCCTCAAGGATCTAGAACCAGAAATACCATTTGACCCAGCAATCCCATTACTGGTTATATACCCAAAGGATTATAAATCATTCTACTATAAAGACACACGCACATATATGTTTACTGCAGCACTATTCACAATAGCAAAGACTTGGAACCAACCCAAATGCCCATTAATGATAGACTGGATAAAGAAAAGGTGGCACATATACACCATGGAATACTATGCAGCCATCAAAAAGGATGAGTTCACATCCTTTGCAGGGACACGAATGAAGCTGGAAACCATCAGCCTCAGCAAACTAACACAGGAACAGAAAACCAAACACCACATGTTCTCACTCATAAGTGGAATCTGAACAATGAGAACACATGGATACAGGGAGGGGAACATCATACACTGGGGCCTGTCAGCCGGTGGGAGGCAATGGGAGGGAGAGCATCAGAACAAATACCTAATGCATGCTGGGCTTAAAACCTAGATGATGAGTTGATGGGT